TACTAATTTCAATTGGTTATAATTATTTTAAATGAAAAAACCTACATTGGATAGTAGATAAAATCTTTTTAATCATTCCTAAGCTAATGGCCATAGTAGTTGCAGGGCTTAAGTTCAATAACAAAAAAAAAAAAAAATCTTTCTGTTATTTCTAGAAATGGATATGCATTCCTAACAATTTTCCCACAAAAATATGACATAAAATGTTAAGCTGACATTGTCTCAAAATAAAAATAACATAGTTGAAATATTCTATATTTTATAACACATAATAATAGCAATACTCACTCGGATCACAAATATCATTCAAACCAAAATCATCAATTCCCAATTTCGAATAAAAATATTTCAAAGCTGTGCACATGTTCAATATTGGTACAGTTTCACTGTACATTTCATTGAACGTAAGATTTTGATTGATATGGATCTACAGTTAACAATCGTAGATATAAATAAAAAAAATATTTAAACAACAACTTCACACGGAATCCTGAGTTAATATGCACTTATTTTGTTGTAGAATAGAATACATTTTTAAATGTACCTACCTATAATAATAATGAAAATTACCTCAATTAAATTATTCACATCGCAGAAGAATTCGTTAAACACGTCCGTGTAGAACTTTGTAACGAATGACTGAGAGGGCTCTTGTAGGTCTTTAATAGTTGCTTTGAACTGCGGCATGTACTGTTCTAATTCATTAATAAGGTTACCGTATTCGACATACATCGACGATTTGTTTTGCTTGGCCATTGTGGTGACATTCGGCTGCCAAGCCATTTAACAGATAGTAGATGGGTATTTTTACTTTTTGCTCTTCACCGTAAATTTGATGTTTCAAATACTTTGAATTCGAACTGGAAAGCTAGTGAAATAGTGAATAGTCATAGCGAACACGGAGAACAAGTAACAGAAACAGATGATGGTGAATAGTGAATTGTAAATTGTTAGTAAAAGCTAATTATAGACGTCATGCACGATTGGACGGATAGTTGAAACTTGGAGTTGAAATTTTTAACGATTCTTTACCTAATCTCGATTGTGGTGGTCGGCCGGTCGGGGAAGAAAATCAAAAATATTGCAGACACTTGATTGGTCGAATGCAGTAAGGGGACTGGCCGTGTAGTTGATAACGATAATGATTCAGGATAATAATACCACAGAAATAATACTGAATAACTGACATACAGTAAACCCTATAATAACAGAGGGAAGATTCAGATTCAAAAAAATAGATCTAAAACTGCAGTAAATATCATATTTAATTTTGACGATATTAAAGGAAGCCTATGTTTTTCATGATCGAATTTGAATGGTTATTATTAATTACAATGCAGTATAATACCTATTGCAGTGTTTATTATTTATTATTTATTATAATTTTACATGGGCGCAGTAATGTTCATAAACAACACTTTGGTATATTTTCAAGATATATAATGTTCAAATTTTGTCAAAATATCGATAATTTGTTAATTATTTTATTATTAAAAATGTGTAAAATGTTCAATGTTTATAGCCAGTGGCTGAAGCCCCCCCCCCTCCCATTGCCGTATTATTATTACTTAAAAAAAATAAATATTTATCAAGTTTCAACTGTCAACTGTAGTAAGCTAGACGTAAATTGCATATACGTCTTACCAGAATGAATTCATTTTTGAAAAACATTGTATTTGCATACCAATTTTCCTAAAATGATCTATAATTTTTAGGTAAAAGTATGAAATACTTGTATGAAAGACTTTGTATTAAATTGTCTAGCCTTAGCTATACACATTTAATATTTTATAAGTTTTGAACAACAAATTAACTGTGATTTTGACAAATTTTAACTTATTAGCTTATATAAAATAACCATGATGCCTATGTTAATATTTTAGCTATAATAAAAACTTACGTATTACATTTTAAACTTTTTGACCGGATAAATAATTTTTAATTGACATTTATGGAAAAAAAAAAAAATCAAATACAATCCAAGTGAGGACGGTATAATCAAGCTGGTTACCAAACAAATTTAATACATTTTCATTTTTTTTTCACCAATTATTTTAAAAAACACTGAGCATTTTCAATTTTGACATCCAAAGACCAAAAGTACAATTTGCTTCCAAAAACATACAATCTGCATCGAATTTTATGATCAGATCATTTTTTCTACCAGAAAAGTTGAGATGTTACAAACATTTTAAAATACCTGAAATAAACATCTGAAATTATTAGATTGGACAAAATAAAAATAAAATTGTAACTAATTTTCAAGCCCCCCCCCCCCATTGAAAAATCCCGAGTACGCCACTGTTTATAGCTAAGAATTTTAAATCTAAAACGAGGATTCTCATAAGTAGTTAATACTGTAACCAAGATATCTAAATAAGTATAAGTAGTATAACAGACATTTTGAGTTCGGATTTTCAAGAAATTAGATATTTTAACGAAGAATAATGATTTTAGTTCTTTTGTTGCAATTTTAAAATATTCGTAATTTGAAACATTTGAAGTATATTATTATATTTTATATTTTTTACACATAATGACATTTAAAATTTTTTTCTCCAAATATTTATTTAACCCATAGGTATATATATACTTGTTGATGCCTAATAGTAAAATAAATTACTTTAATCACAATAATGTCATAAAATATATAAGCACCTATCTACATCTACTTAAACTTCGACATAAGCATCGTTAATAGTATTCAATGATTTTATGTCATCGAATCCAAGTTTAACCCATAATCCGTTACAACATTCCAAAGTCCAAACCTATACTGTACAGCAAAGTGGTAACCACTTGGCCACTTTTTATTAGTTTTTTTTTTAACAATTATTGTAGATAAATAATATTTTGCTCCATCAAAAACTTAAAAATCTTATAGGTGGTACAAGGTTTCTCACAAGTTTCAAGTTTTTATGAGTGTAGTAATTAAAAAAAAAAAACGGGTAAGTGGCGAAGTCGATCATCTGCTGTACAGTGGGTCACTAGCTGTAGGTACTTAATGGACGGTGTTAAATTAAAACATTCAATGATATAAAATCGTTGTATCCGAAAAACAATTCTGAGCGAAATCGATCTGTCCGACTATAATTTTACTATAAGTGAAAATGTCATTCGTCATTGTGCGCCTACCTATATATGCAGGGGGGTTCTCAAGGGGGGGTCATGGGGTTTAGAACCCCCCAATTGACAGTATTTTTTTATTTTTTATTATAAAACAAATAATGCATCTTTATAATGTACCTACCTACTTGTCCAATTATATTATCATATACAATTTCCCAATTCGTATTTTACCGTTAAATGCTTCCTACACATCGAATATATGTACACTGTCAAATATGTACCTCGAAACTGACAAGCTAACAGTTAAAGCCGAACTACATCTATGGTATACCAAACTTAATAAGAATGTAAAATATCCAAAAAATTGTTTAGAAGCGTTACGACAGCGTGATAAAGAAATATTTCCCAATATACATTTTCTATTAAAAATACTATGCACTATACCTGTTTCAACATCCACCCCCCAGATAACGTTTTCTTGTTTCATAAGATTGAAATATTATCTACAAAACACAATGACTGAGGTATTTTCTGAATATTAAAATAAAAATTTATATCAATTTTTTTAACATTTTTTTGGTTTTAGACTCGACTTAATGGCTTAGTTATATGTTGGCTGTTCATAAAGAAATCCCACTAACAGCAGAAGAAGTTTTAAATGAATTGAGAAAAAAATCAAGAAAACTAGATTTTGTTCTTTAATTTTTGAATGTATACCTATTGTATATTATTAATAGTTCCTATATTAGCAATATAATATTTAAATCTATAAATTGAATTTGTTGTTGATTAAAAAAAAAAAAATGGTCGTTAGGTAAAAGACTAGCTCCTTCAATTTTACTTGAACCCCCCACATAAATTTCTGAGCACTTCCCTGTATATATGGCTGTATAAAATATAATAATACACTCTGAAAGTTTTATATATACCTAAATTATATACCCACGAATGAAGAATAATATTTTTAAATTACAACAAAATCACTAAAATCGTTATTTCAGCTTATAATATCTGTACAAAACTACAAAATAACCAAGTTTATTTTTTAGATTTTTTTATAAAGTTTTAACTACCAAGTAATTTGATAAATTTGACAAAATTTGAACTTTAAATACTTTTACGAAAAAAAAATGTTCTGCATGGATCTTTAACATTTATTAATTATCAACTGCTATTATAACAATTAGGAACTTTGTATTAAATGTCGAATGCAAATAATAATAATAAAAACATTACCACATCATTGTAAAATCAATACACATCCATTGCAGCTCCGCTCAGAATCTAAAATGTTCAAGTCATGGAAAAAATGCATTTCTTGGAAGAAATATTTTGTTATGTACTCTCAAAAGTCAAAATGGCGATATTATCAACTGCATCATACTGCTTATCAATGTTCTATTTAATATTTATGCTTAAGCAGTAATGAAATAACACTATAAAAGCATTATTATTTATTGCCATTATTCTTATTCGTTTTAAGTTTTAAATTTAAGTGTTTATAGTTTTGCATTTCAATATAATCTCAACATTTATAGTTTATAATTTCGTTGACACTTGTCTGTATTCATTAGAAAATGTTAATGTCACTCGCCGCCTAGTGCCTACACATACGTGCCTTTACATGTTATTTTTTTTCGACCAAATAATGAAAAGTTAATAGACCTTGTGCATATTTCTGAAACTTATCTTACTATAGTTTTCAGAATTACAAATTTCAGTTTTGTACTGTAATATGTGTTACGTGTACAGAGTAAAAATACAATAAATGTTGTAACTATTGAATACCTTTCAACCTCAAGACTCCCGACAATTTGAAAGAAGTAATAATACATCCCTATATAGATAGTAAACTGCTAATTTAGAACTTATAACTTTTTTATATCATTTAAAGAATATTGTTGACTTTAATTTAAATTTATTTCAAGATAATGTCATCAGAATTGAAAAACCTCGCTGAAAACCCTGTTCATACTAAAGTATGTTTTGATGATTTGGACGAACTAATTTCTTCTGTGGCCGCTGAAGAAAAAGAATTGAAGGTTTGTATCAATATCCACTATATAAATTTTTTTTTTTGTTTAAATCAATAATAATAAACTAATTTTCATTATGACATCTGATTATTCTCTATTATACTTTGGTTGTTGTTCATGCCTATTGGTAAAAAAAAAAAATTATTCAAGGACTATAGCTAGTAGCCTAGTGGTATAATAAAAGCTTGAGTTATTGAAAATATGATGTTTACGCTTTTAATAAAATCCAACTAATAGTAAATTATTATATAATTTATTAGTAGGGCTCAGAAGTTGATGACCTTAAAAATATCAAAAAATTACCTAAAAAAAAATGCAAATATGACATAAAAATGACAAAAAATGAACTAAAAAAATAACAAATATTTGTTTTAAATTTATAAAAATACATTTTTTTTAAATATTCTACTCTATTTCACTATAAAATTCTATATACATTTATCAAAGCTTACAAATTTCTCAAAATATGACATAAAAATGACAAATAATGTCCTTAAAAATGAAATAAAAAATATTTGTTTGAAAACGACGTGACGACTGTAATCGGCAAGATAAAATCGGATACTAATCGATTATTAGGAAAAAATAATAAAATGTAGGTATAATAATATTCACTACAACACGAAAACGACAAAATGTAAGTTATCGGCATAGACAAGAAACGATAAGAAGTTAACTAGTGTGAAATCAGTAAAAATGACTAAAAATGTCGAAAAATTACCTAAAAATGCCAAAAAATGACTTAAAAGTAAAAAAAAAGCCAAAAAATGCATTAAAATGCAAAATAAAATTTAGTTTTTCAGATTCACATGCTAATGAAACGCATTTGTGGCCAGGAGAGCATTGTCTTAAAAGTTCCAAAAAAAAATGCAAAATGCCTCAACTTCCGAGCCCTATTTATTAGCAAACTAAATGTTTTTATTTATTTTACGTGTAAAGAAAATGTATTATGATTATTGAAAAGATTAAAAAATGTACGTATTGCAACAATACATTATTTAAATTAGTTTATTAAAAATTTGGGTGAACCCAACTAATTTAAACTAATGTTAATCAAATTTTAGTAAAAATCTTTTTCATTACCTTCAATTGATGAGTAACTTGCTATGTCATCATACTGTTTTAAAATGCTGCTTATGCCCTCTCCCTAGTTTTGTGATAAATATGTGAATAATATTTTATACACAACTTGACTACATCTATTTTAAAACATAAGAGAAGTAATTTTTAAATTCAGTACTACTTTACTTTTGTAATTAATGTTATATTTTTATTTTAAACTCATACATTGCATTATATTCAAAAGTGTTAACATATACTGTATATGGGAATCCCGGAAAAAAAAACCACAGAAAAAAAACCAACGGTGAAAAAAAACCAAGTGGTAATATAACCAGAGAATTAGCATTATCACAAAATATAATATTCCATCTATATGCTGTGTTATCAATATTATAAAAATTATGTGTTGATTAAATATACATTCAAATATTATACAATTAATTATAATTACATTTTTATTGAGAAAAATGTATACAAATGAGCATAAGTAAATGATTGATAGACTATAAGTTACGATCACTATGTATATAAAAATATTAGTTTAGTTTACTATACATAAATATAAAATATATTTTAGTTTAAGAAATTTCCTGTACATAATATACTATATTGGTTTCAAAAATCAAAATAACTCAACAATATAATCAGACAAGTTTGACAAGTTAATCTGTCAAGATTTATAGTTGAAATAGGGGGAACATGAAGATCATATAAAAATACACTATTGATCATTGTGCTGACTGTGACTTTACTAGTTTACTGTATTGTGTTCTTGTCTTGCAAATTGTTTTTTTTTTAAAGTTCTGAATTTAATAGTGTAAAATATGGAAATTATTGAAATTATTAAATCAAATAGGGGTTGCAGATAAGATTTGTCACAAAGGTCATATGTATACTTTAAAAATATGCCGGAAACAATATATACATGGAGATGTACAAAAAAAAGTTCACTTAATTGTCCGGCTATTCTGAGAACTACAACTAAGATAACTCAACCTTTGGTTTCAACAAAGTTTGATTATATTATCACTTTGGTTTTTTTTTCGTATACCGTATATTGAATTAACCCTTTCACTGCTCCAGATTTACTATTACGTCCAAAACATTTACATCATTCACTGGCTTCAGACGTACTATTGTGTCCCTGTATTTTATAATATTCTCATTTGCCGGTTACCGTACAAGTTTTGGAAACCTTGGCCAGCATTATTACTTAACTAATTACATTACATAGATCTCTAAATTAAAATAAAATATTTCATTTTAAATAGCAGACATGGGTTGCAGTGTAAAAATAATATAGCAGTGAAAGGGTTAACATTCACTCAAAGTATTTGAATAAATCAAATGTTCAACTAGTTTTAAAATTTAAAAATTTAAATTATTTGTTTCCACATTAAAAAATGCATCACTCATAGCTTAGATGATATCCTTGATGCTAAACTATTTAAAATATTATAATATAAAACCTGTCTATTCATACAATAAGGCAATTTTTAAATAATTACATAATGTATACACTTTTAAAATTAATGTTTGCTCTTAAAATTAGCCTTAACAAATATACAGTTATTTTAATTTAGTATAGTAATTTTTTCATTTTTGAAAAATATCATTAGTTATTTACAGATAATTAGAATTATGTCATAACTATTAATATGTATATATATGTATATCAGTTATATTTAATTACCTATTTTAATATGTTATGTTTTAATCCCTAGATGAAAATGGAAAAAAAAAATTCAAATGGAACAGAGGACAAAACACAAGAGTCAAATGGTTTAGCTGATCTTAAAAATGAAAATGAGGTAAGTTACTACTTAGAGTTATGTAGGTATACCGATTTTTAATTAAACAAGAATACTATATACTTTTTAATTTTTATGGACACAATTTAACTTAGTGCAATCTTAATTGTATTATAATCTAAGGAAATGGGGTACATTTTAATTTGTACTTAATCCTTTTAGCTTGTGTATATCTAAAAATTAAAATTGTAAGCCTATTTTGAAAGTTAGATTTAAATCTGAAATGAATGTATAAGTTTAACTAAGAGAGATTTTCAAGACACAAGTGAACTTAAAATTGTATATTTATAAAACTCCAACTTTAATTGATTATGTTGCTTTAACCAAATCACAATTTGTTTTTCTTTTTAATCCTATATATTCATATGTATATTTTTGCTGAATGTAATTACAAAATACTGTATTGTATTTTAACTGGCCTTTTGCCCGTCATATTAAATAAACTAAGAATAAAATAATTATTAAATATCTATAAGTAGTTGAAAATTCTATCAAATCAAAATAATTATAACTAAAGTATTTGTTGAAGTTTTGGGTTTTTTAGAAGTGTGCTGGATACAAAAATAATAACTGTATATTTTAGTAAATTAAAATAATATATTATATTTTTTAGCTTAAAAATATAAATGAATTAGAAGATAAATCAGTAGCCATGAAAAATGAAAATGGAAATGAAGAGAAAAAAAGTGATGAAGATGACAATCATCTTGAGTTTAAAGACAGCCAAAATAATTCTGAAGATGGTAAAGAAGAGCTGGAATTATCTGAAATGATTGTTTGTGACGAAGTAGCTGGTGATAGTGATGAAGTATGTTTTTAATTTTGTACATCTTCTTTTATGTAAAATATTATTACATTAAATATTTATGTAGGATGATAACAAAATAGAAGTTGAAGCAACAAATGCAAATGATAAAGATAAGTATGAAAAAGATACCAAAAAAATTAAAAAAGACACAAAAGAAAAAGAAAGCAACAAGAAAAAATATGATAAGAAATCAGGTAATTTTTATATACACCTAATATATATGTTGTGACATTTAATTGTAGCTAAGGTAAAGATAAATGTGATTTATCGAAATTTGATTCGTGTTAATTTTAGTCAGTGATAACAATGTTCTTTGGCAAATTTGCTGCAACGTTAATTGAAGTTATTAGAAATTTAAAAATTGATCTCTATGGTATTTGTTTGGTAGAGTAAATGTTAATGAATTAACATTTATAGATTGAATAAAAAGTTGTTAACTACTATAAACATTTTAAAAACAAGAGAAATTATTATGTATCATGCAATTTTGAATGTACCATGGATTTTATATCAATATGTTAACCTGCTTAGTACACAGTGGTTAGAGATATGTGCTGACAATGTGTCTTTATTTGATAAATACACCTTGGTGTGGTTCTTGTCCGTGAGTGTGTGACTTGTGACTGCACCACAGTTTAAGGTTTTCTGTAGACTTCACTGTAATATTGTAGTATATTATCAATGCCAGACCCCAGTTATCATTATGTGTTGTCTCCATCTTACAAACTTATAACATAGTAAAATATAATAAAAAGCCCTTGAGTTCGTCTAGATAATAATCTTACCTTTAAATATTATAAGAGGTCATTACACTCTAATTTTCAAACTAACTTAGCTACACGTGTTCTGCTATACGAGTATACCAAGAATTGACTACTCCTAATTTTTTAAACCATTTTGGTTACCAATCGTAACTATATAATAACCAAGCCCTCGAACGACACACAATGTAGCTGTGAATGCGCCTTTAAAGGCCATACAAATGCTCTATGTTTGACCGGTAACTAATACCGCTATCTTATAGACATGGCCAGTCTGTTAGTACAACAGGTTTATTATATTATTATACAACCAATACATTTTTGAATAATTTTATAGCTCTACTGATGTTTATTAATATAAATATTAGACTTAGTATAGTATAGAATAGTATAGTTTATTTTATCTAGATGAATTTTATGTATATAATATAATGTGGAGACTAGATACCCAAACATATGTGAGAGTTTATGTGTTTGGCTCTTAAGCCTCCGATATAAATAAACTAGTCAATTTAATGATCATAATTTAAATATTAAGTGAATTATTTAAACATTCTCGTAAATGACTAGTAACATTTGAATCATAAATTATAAAAAATAAAACTAAGAGCTGTTTTGCTGTATTGTAGTTGTAAGTGTCATTGAGTAGGTCACCATAATGGATATGTTAAATTTTAATTAAATTATGAAATACAATGATGGTCATGTCTAAAATATACTAACATAAATATTTGTTGAAAATATAGTTCTGACAGTTATTTATTTTTGATTTACAAAAAAGATTTGAAAACTGGCATCCGATAAATATATAGTCCTGTTGTTCCTCTGATTTGTTAGTTCTTCCCAATTATTGTAAAAGGACTTGGGAATTTTATTGTTTGAGTATTTGGCCCCTCATCTTACCTTACAAAAAAAAAATTAAAAAGTACTAACTAGATTCAATCTATTACCAAAAAACACCCCCAAAGTTGAAGATTCAAGCATTTGCTCCAAACATGGTGGTAAATACAAAATAAATAATAATAATACTAAAAACAGGTATGTTATCATTGTAATAATAATACATTCATTGCTCTGCTGGAAATCTAAAATATGAGTGTTCAACTGATAATAAAAAAAAAAGTATGTCAAAAAGAATATTATTTAGTATTATACTATTTACTATATAGTATTTACCTTTAATTCATTATTAAATATTTTTAACAATCCAATACCTGTACAGGACTAAAAAACATATAATGTGAGAGTTTAGGCATAGTGTAGACTTTACTACTGTACAATTTTGTTTAAATATTTATTATTACTAATTATTTGTATACTTTACCATTGTATTTTCTAGATTCTAAGTCAAAAGATCGATCAAGGAAAGAAGATTCAAAAAGAGTTGACAAAAAACGTTCAAGAACACCAAGCAAAGAAAGATCAAGCAAGGATAGTTCATTGAAGAAAAGATCAAAAACTGTATGTTCATAATTGAAATAGATTATTATTTTATACTTCTATATTACATATAAACTTGAATATTAATTAATTTTTTTAGATTGATAAAGAAAAGGAATCCAAAAAACTTAGAGAACTTGATAAGTTTTGGCAAACTGTGCGTGATGATCCATCTGACTTTATTGGTTGGACCTACTTATTACAATATGTTGATGGAGCGGTACATTTATAAAGTTCATCATATATTTATTCAATCAAGTTACTTGTATAATTTGTATTAATTATTTTTATTGTCTTCAGAAAAATATTGAAGCTGCACGTGAAGCTTATGATGCCTTTTTAGATTTATATCCATATTGTTATGGTTATTGGAGAAAATATGCAGACTATGAAAGAAAAAATGGAACTAAAGAAAACTGCGAAAAAGTGAGTTAAAATTTTTATATTATCAATCGAATGGATGACAGACAATACCATATTTAATTCTTAAATTAAATCCGATCATAAATAACTACAATGGTTGTAGAAAGTTAAATACTGTTTGGGAGTAATGTGGGATGCATAATTAAATTAAAATTTTTATTCCCATCAGTATTATTACTGCCAGTTATACAACATTGTTATTTTGAATAATTTTAAATTATTCATTTTTTTACTCGAGTGTGTTGTGATTGATAATACCGTTAAGAATAAATAAAAAATACCAATAAGGAGAAGATCATATTGATTTTTAAATGAATTTAAATGTTAAATTATTTTATAGTTTTATAGTTAATAACATGTATATATTTTTAAAATGTATATAATATATAAGATATAGTAATAAGTAAATATATTAAACTTGATTGATAAAAACATTTTAATTATTACAATGACTCACAATGTATAAAATTAATTTTTTTGTAATGTGAAAATTGTACTGTTGTTTATTTGTTTTAACCACCATAAAGAGAGAAGTATTCAAGATGCTCAATCATTAATTTTAAAGACCATAGATTTTTGGTTGTTAATAATTTTATTATTAACATTGAAAATGTATACAATGTAACATTTATAATAATTTCTGTTCAAAACACAAACAACTATTTGTAAAATTATGTACTTTTTAATTGTTATTTTATAAACCTTATATCTCCGTCTATAACCGTTGAGAATTGTAATAACTGTTCAGTTAGTGTTTAAATTTAAATTTATTAATAATAAAATAAGTTAATAAGTTATATATTAAAATTAAATGTTTCCTGATATGAAGACGAAGATGCATTTAAGTTTATCATGGATTTAATTCAGTCTGAAGTTTCTACATCTTAATAATAGTCTCAAATTTTGTTTTCAAAAACTTCAACACCATCAACATACATTACACGTGTCATCCAAACCAAGCTAACAATTATTTAGCATAATTTTAGTTTTTAAAACATTTTGCTTAAAAAAATACTAAGTTAAATTTCTACTTGTTTTTTTTTTTACTATTGTTAACGTTTTTGTATGATACTTAAAACATCTCAACTTTTCAGGTGTTGTGATTGATTTTATCCTATGCCCAAAATATATTTCCCTCTTAGTAAAATTCTTCAAAGATTTCTTATACACTATATACCATGATTTTAGTCTAGATATTTTTCATCAGGTTGCTGCTGGATAAAGCACAAAACACTGCACGCTCCACCGTGGCCCAAAAAAGCACGAATTTCACTAAAAAGCGTGAAAAATATATTTATTTGACTCTTAAATATCATTAATTTGTATACTCTATTTGTTAATAAAATGATATGGCGTGGTTTTAAATAACCATTAGGTGTAATACAAATAATTATGTATTAAATTTATGTATTTTATATTACAATTAAGTAATTAAGATGAATCATTGTTATTATTATTAGGTATTACGATTTTAGTTATTATTATTTTTTTTATTAATTGTGTTGAATATTTGTTAAATTTAATTTAATGATAGAAAAACATAATGCGGCATTGCGACACACGCCAAGAGCTGTTTTGGATATCTTTTGGGTAAGCGGTGATTTATAAAACTAGTCATAAGGTTATTTGTAAATTTTAGTATTACACAGAATTAAATCCTTTTGTTAAAGGCATGAATATATAATATTTAAGTGAACACAAAATTATTAATATTTTATTCAGTTTACATAATTTGTTAATTTTAAATTGTGCACAGGTATTTGATCGTGGCTTAAAAGCTATACCATTGAGTGTTGACTTATGGATTCATTATATGGGTTATATGAAATCAGCATATCCAGACGATGAAGATATGATAAGGGAACAATTTGAAAGGGCAGTAGAAGCTTGTGGAATTGAATTTAGGTAAATACATTTTTAAATTAGCACTTTCAAAATGATAGAAATAATGGTGAAATCAATTGTTTAAGATCGGATCGATTATGGGATCATTACATTAAGTTTGAATTGGAATGCAAACAATATTCAAGAGTTACAGATATTTATGAACGTCTAATTGCTACCCCCACTCATGGATTTTTAAATAATTTTGAATGGTAGTATTTTTATAACATATAGAATTTATAAAATATATTTTTATTTACTTTTTTTTTTTTAGTTTCAAAGATATGTTAAAAAGTATCCTAAAACAAAATATTGGAGGCTGTTTAAATTTTGGAGTTAGAAAAGAAGTATTAGCCGAGATTAAGGAAGCTGATGCTAAAAAAACCCATGGTAGAAAAATTGATTCTGGTTCTGACTCTGATGACATGGCAGATCCTATGGAACAAGTAATCTATGAATTAATTCTAGTCTTTTAAAAGGATAATTTTTTTATGTTTATTTCACTTTTTTAGCGCACCAAGGAAGAAAATTAATGAAAGAGAAATGATTGCATCACGTATTGCAACACTAAGCCACACAGCAGAATGGTTGCATTACGATTACCCTATGAAGAAATGGTCAGTTCTAGACATTGTTTACTTAACTTATTGAACACTAGTTTAATTTTTCTTTATGTTTTAGATTAAACGGCCATACTTTCATGTAAAACCTTTAGAAAGATCTCAAATTAGAAACTGGAAAGAATATTTAGAATTTGAAATTGGCCATGGTTCATACAAACGATGTAGTGTTATTTGAAAGATGTTTAATTGCTTGTGCTCTTTATGAAGAATTTTGGACTAAGGTAATAATTATATTAAATAGACTAATTTCCATTAAAAAATATTAATTAATGATTTTTCTTATAGTATGTAAGTTATTTAGAGAGTCTTGAATCCGATGACCAAGAAGTTAAAAACCGTATAGAGGACATATACATTAGAGCGTGCACTGTTCACCATAAGAATAAGCCTGGGATTAACTTAACTTGGGCTCTACATTTAGAAAATAATGGTAACTAATTTTTGTATAATATCCTGTCATATAAACATTTTAAATTTCAAATATTTTTTTTTAACAAATTGCTTTTATTGCTTTAGGACAATATGATAAGGCTGCTCAAATTCTAGATATGTTAGACAGTGTGTCCCCAGACAAAAAGTTAATAATCCAAAGAAGGATTAATTTGGAAAGACGAAGAAATTGTAATGATAGAGTATGCGAGTTATATGAACATTACATAAGTACAGCAAACTCTTCATTAACTTCTATTTTATTGACAATTAAATATTCTCGATTTGTTTGGAAAGTAAGAATAAAACAAAAACAACTGTAATAAACAATATTATGCAATATTCATATAATTATTACCATTTCAGATGTTACACAATACTGATCGAGCTTCTGAAATTTTGTTGGCTGAAGTAGAAAAAATAAATGTTTGTATATTAATTTTTGAACATTAATTTGTTTATAAAACATTTTTTCTTTGTGTCTTATAGAATGTTCAAAAAAGTAGTCGTCTGCTGTTACAATTAATTGAAATCAAAATGAGCGACAATCCTATGAACATTTCTGCTGTAGTCAAACTGATTGATAGCATCTTAACCATGAAGTCAATTGAAGTTGAACAACAAGTTATTTTTGCTCAACGCAAAGTTGAATTCCTAGAAGAATTTGGCAAGGACATACTTTTGTAAGTATTAAAAAACTCATTAAATAATGCCAAGATAAAGATTAGGTACTAGGGTAGATTAGTAGTAAGAAAAATGAATCTTAAGTATTAAACATCTCAAAAATAAATTAATCATCTAATCGGGAAAGATAGCACTTTATTTTGTAGAGAAAATATTTTAAAAGCCACATGTGTCTAATATTTAGAAATCAATTTATAATCTATTAAATATATTTATTTAACCTTTATTAGAGGTTACATAGATTTATAAAATTAACACTGCATTTCAGTGTATGATATTATTATGCAATTAAACACAAAAATAATTCAATATTCATTGTAAAATTAACATAAAAAATAAATAAATAAAATAAAAAATATTTTAAAAAATATTTTAACCGCTAAAATTTAAAAAAAATTCTGAAAACATAGATTGTAAATATTAACCTCAGGTTAAATTTTTTATTTCAGTAAACCAATCTAGGTTATGTAATGATAAGAAACTTCCTTTATAAGAAAAAACAGTTATCACTAATCAGTAATCAGTATTCAGTGGTCAGTAGTGTTTGGTGTTATAAAATTTTAATATTTTTCCAATATTACTAAGTTGTGTCAACATGCCTATGAAAAGTTATATACCATACTCTAGCGAATCACATTTTCCAATAGAAAATTTACCATATGGTGTATTCTCAACTGTCGACGATTCAACACATCGAATAGGAGTTGCTATTGGTGATAAAATTCTGGATTTAAAATACTCCAAAAATGTTTTTGACCATCCTTTATGTGAAGTATTTCAACAGCCATCGCTTCAAAGTTTAATGGCTTCAAATAAGAACACGTGGTCCCAAGCTCGTAAGTCAATTCAATCTTACTTAAGTATTGAGAATCGTGGCAATTTGGAAAACGGTGTATTTTGGGATCAAAATGAAGTCAAAATGCATTTGCCCACTACAATAGGTGATTTTACTGATTTTTTTTCATCATATTATCACGCTTACAATTGTGGTTCCCTTATGACACCTGATAAACCCTTAGCAGATAATTGGAAAAATATGCCAATTGCATATCATGGTCGAGCATCATCAATTAGAATATCCGGTACGCCAGTTGTTCGACCCATTGGCCAGTATTTAAAAAACGGACAAGTGACATTCGGTCCCACAGAAATGTTAGACTATGAACTAGAAATGGCATTTTTCGTGGGGGGTTCATTGAATTCTTTAGGTGAACCAATACCAACCAACAAAGCTTCAGATCACATATTTGGTATGGTTTTATTGAACGATTGGAGCTCCAGAGACATACAGAAATGGGAATCATACTTTCTCGGGCCATTCCTTTCAAAAAGTTTTAGTACAACCATTTCACCCTGGATAGTGACAATGGAAGCTTTAGAAGAATTCAAAACGGACAACTTTAAACAAGAACTAACGCCATTGAAGTATTTACTGCATGACATTAAGTACAATTTTGACATCAATTTAAACGCAAGTGTCCGTGACCAAAAATCACAGCAAACTCATTCAATCTGTAACACCAACTATAAGTACATGTACTGGACTCCATTACAACAAATCGCTCATCATACCATTAATGGCTGTAATTTACAACCAGGCGATTTATTGTCATCTGGAACAATTAGTGGTCCTAAAGAAGAACAGCGTGCTTGTTTGACAGAGAGAACTCGCGGAGGGAGAATATTTGTAGACCTAGGTGAAAGAAAGTTGAAATTTTTTGAAGATGGCGATGAAGTAACATTATCAGGATTTTGTCAAGGAAACGGATACAGAATTGGTTTTGGCAACTGTAGCAGCCAAATTCTTCCAGCAAATAACTTAGCCTAAAGTATTAAATTAATCAATATGTATTTTGTTGTTTTTATTGGTTCTGAAGTTTGGAAAATATTGTAGTAGGTTTTTTTTTTCTTATAAATTTTAAGAGTTGTGTGTTATATAATAGAGGATAATATTATATACTTTTTTTATGAACTAGTTGAATTTGGAATGCAATATATTATTTTTCTTGAATGATAGTATTTTTTTATAAATCTATTTTTAAATAATTCATGATAAGGTACTAAGAATTATATAAAAATATAATTATGAACAATCCAAGTGGTTTTCAATTTAAAATATGAGGGAGGGAAATTCTCGCATGCAAACAATGGCAGGTTAAATTGGAACATCCACCGGATATTGCAATTTGAATATAATCAACCTCCTGCACAATTATGCATATTAGTCCCCCTAAATCAGTTTACATCAAAATTACAAAAATAAGTGTGGCTAATTATTGTAATATTTATAAATTTTAATTCACTGTTTTAGGATAAACAGAGCTACAACAGAGTTGAAAAGGTATATGAAAATATACAATGAAAGTGAAAAAAAAGCAGAAGTTATAGACACTAAGACATAATTTGTAATATGATGTTAACAAATTGTTTTTAATAAGTTTATTATATCATAAACTCTTTATGAATGTAAATATAAATCCATGTTTAAATATTATTTTAATAATTTGATGATGTTTATTCGAGTTTGTCATTATTTTGTAACTAAGTCTTAGTATTTTAAAATATTTTTATATATATAATAAATATAGTGACTTAAAAAAAAAAATTGAACTCCTTGAGTTTTATATGCAAGGGAAATCTAAGCGATTAATAATCAAGACGTATACACAGAAAATAAAATATTAGTTACAGATTGTTATTACTTTACATTTTGTTATTTTATAAGAACTATTCTACAATAAAAAATGTATTCAATTATTTTATGTCTTTTACTAATCTTGTATTATTACTAAAAAATTGTAAATAATATACAAGTAGTTAACAAAAAAAATTTTAAAGATACTATGTATGATTTTTTTTTGATTTTATTAAGAAATAATGTTTAAATAATAAAAAACAATTGAATTACATAATATTAATCTACTTAACATAATCACCATATTTCTCTGAAAAATAGCCAAATCTGATTTCGCAATCAAGAGTTGGTTCAAGCATTATTAATGAGTCATCTTCCAATCCCTTTACGTCAGCTGTAAAACAATATTTGTAATTAATTAAATTGAATACAAATATTTACACAATATTTTAATAAATAAAACGATCATAAAAATTCACTCAATCATAATATCCTATAATGGAGTGAGATCTATTTACGGAATGTAATATCAGTTGAGGTAATATTTGACTATACAACCAGTCGATTCAAAAACACATTTTTATTTTGTTTATTAAATCATCTATTACTTTGAATAAAATATGGTTAAATAAAGTGTAAATCAACCAATCGAAAGTAATGCGGCCACATGCAATAAATACTTTCCCAACTTTACAAAATACAATAAATCTTCTTTCTTTTATTGACATGTAATTAAACAATTTTAACAATTATTATACATCGAAAGAAAAACTCAACGTACTACAATACCATTGGTAAGTGTAAAAAGAAAATATACTGAAAACCGATTAGATGGACAAATCACTGTCAGCTTTTGACTATTCAGTACTGGAAAATCAAAAAATATATCATGCAAATGATTGAATTATACATGTATCTAGAAATAATGAATATAACATGAGTCATACAATTATGTGACAAGTAGGAATTAAAATATTCCAAATGCACAGACCGTATAAAATGGCTCCTAAAATATTCCCGAATGAACCTTTGATCTTTAAATGATTGAAATTGATTCAATAAATAACTTATACTTACAAAACACCAAGTTATGATTCAACGGTGATGGATTGGAAAAAAATGAAGGTTTGCATATATTTTTTATGAGAATCATTTTTATACACTTCATAGCCTCAAGCATCTATTATAATACAAAACAAATTTAAACATTAAATAATGATAAAAAACATAAATAAATGAACAATAACATACACTTTACAGTATACATACTTCTACAAGTTCCCTAACTACCATTGGCTGTAAGATGGTGCAATATTCTTTTTTCAGGGTTTTCAGGTAAATGCCGGGTTTGACAATTATTTTGGATAGAACAGAGTTCAAAAATTTCTCCATAAGTTCTTTGTTGATAGTTAAATTCAATCTGGTCCAGGGGCGGATTATTATGCGATCAAAGGTTTCAGTGTTTCTTCTAAATGTTGTGTTTGATAATAAGTAAGCAAAAAGAATAATTGTCAGAACATGAGTATTACTTACTCTGTTGGATGTTCTTCACGCATTCTTTTCATTGGTGGGAGTATTGAGTCTGTATCCTCAGAATCCGAACTAAAAATAATTATTGAATAAAATTTATTTATTTATTAATTTTACTAAGATGTATAAACAAATACACTCACTCTATATGTAATAAATCTTCATTTTCCATGATTATTGTGTCAACAGCACTGGACCAATTTTCACTTGGTATTTTTACCAGCCACAAATCTGTATATTTGTGATGCACGTACACTGGTACTTCAATGCCAGCCCTCAATAACAGATCTTTATCTGTCAGAAATCGCACAGACGTTGTAAGAGCAAACAAAGACAAATCTTCAAAGTTTTTCTGTTCATACGTAATTAAAAAAATTATATTCAGACAGAATAGTAGAATAATGTACTTTGTGTACACACTTAATTATCACTTACTTTGATTTCTCGTTGCGAAGCACCACATTGTCCCTTGGTATAACAAAACTTGAGAATCTGTGTGCACAAATCACTCAGTCCGGTTGTGAGGTATTCAAGTTGTGGATTGAATGTTGGTCGACTGATAAACATAATGTTAACGATATTATATCATAGTACCAAAATTTGTGTTAGCATATTAATATAAAATTAAAATTAATCACACACCGGAAAATGTGTTGTGCAGCAAAATCAATTTCTTCTTCTACATTTTGTATAGATTGTTTTAGTTTACAAATAACCTAAAATGAGTAACACAAGAAGTTAATTATTTTGAGTTGTAATAGGTTCATCGACATGCACAATACTTATAATATTATAACGGTATATTTTATGTTGACAAAATAAAACTTAACCTGATAATTTTTTAGCTGTTTTGTGACTGAAGTTATTATTTTGATGTATTCAACTGAATCGTTACTGGTCGATAGTAAATCAAAATGACGACTTCTCATACTATAGAAAATAAAAATGTTCAATACTATTACACACTTCCTTGTAAAATATTTACAAAGAAATCTAATTATTAAAACTTAAGTATAAATGAAAAATGAAATATATTTATATATCGTTAGTAAAAGCCAAGTAAATAATAATTATTACCGTTTTAGAGTGTTTTTCAAGCATTTAGATGCTTCATCTAAATTCTCATCAGGCATATATTCTAAGTACTGTAAGTAGAAAACAAAAATTTAAAAATTGTTAAAATGGGAGAAAAAAATAATGACCTCAACCCTAGGCATTATTTTTTAAATGGTTATGTTTGATAAAAATCAATACAATATAAATTTACATTTTCAGAAAAAATACAAAATACACAAACTTAATTTAATTGGATCATATCCATATTGGCATATTATTATTCCTTTTTAAATTGGTTTCTAATTTAAATTAATTAATTTATAAGAGTTTCTATTATATTATGCAGGAAACGCTTTTCCATGCTTCTGTAGTTTAATTGTGTACTTTAAGAAATACATCAAAGTACATCAAAGATTAAAAATGTTATTTTTTTATAATTTTTATTAAATACATCATGTGAAAAATAAGTTTACTTGCCTTTTTATCAAACTCAATTGAAATATCTACAATATTTGACAATGACAAACTGGTAAGTGCTGTGCACAGGCCACACGAAGGGTTCAGTAGCAGAATCTTGCGTTCAGATAGATCCTCTTTGATATTTGCATATGCAAAATATGCACCTCTGTAACGTCCCACATCTTTGTTGCCAATTAATGTTGTAAAAAACCTAGTTTAAAGGTTTAAGATACAGTTAAAAAAAAATAACAATAAATAATAATTATAATAACTAAAGCTTGGATATTTTATTGCATTAGAATGTTTATTTCCGCAGTTGATTTTATTCTTAAGTAAGCTATGAACAAAAATTTAATCATTAATTTTTTAATGAAATGTTGGTACATTTTTTTACATACGTTTTACAGCAATAATCAGGGGCGGCTCGTCAGGGGAGACTTTGAGACTGCGTCTCCCCTTAAAAATAAACTAGCTAGGTACTTGTAAATAATATAATTAATTAAAAATAATAATGTATAGAAATATTTTCATTTGTATTTAAAATATAGTTTTCATTGTTTATTATTATATAATTATTAATTATTAGTACCTACAATTTATAATTTATACATCATAATTAGGGCAGAGGACTTGTAGCATTTGCAAGTTTTTCCAAGTCACAAAAATTGCAGAGTACGAAACAAATACGTTTCATGCTTTCACAGTTTCACAAAGCTAGTTTTGAAATTTTATTTTGTACATAAATGCATATTTTGAGTCTCTTGTTTTTAGGCCATATTTACACTTTTATACCCAATTTTATACTTTTTAGTTTTTGACACATACAGGGTGTCCCGTGAGGATTTACTCATTGCGATATCTCCTGAAATAATAGAGATATCGTAATTCTGTTTTCTTTTTAAGACTCACAGAGGTAAGTACTACAAATAACTAATTTTTTATTTTTTTTTTTATGTTTTGGTAAAAAAGTTAAAAAAATTATTTTTTTAATTAATTATTTAAAAAAATATTGAAGATTGCCATTTTGTAGAGTTCATTTTTCTGAAAATATTGACGTTTCAACATTTTAATTTCATTAATTTCCTGATTTTTAATAATTTTTTTAATTAATAAGTAAAACGGCAAAAAACCGGTTTTTGTCCGGGCGGCGAGTCCCCCTCTACGGCTAATAGGTAAATCCTCACGGGACACCCTGTATTTAACTTAAATCAATTTTTTCCACACCGACATTTTTATTTCAAACAATACGTCAATACGGTCAAAAAATTTGGATAAAAATTTAAAAAATGTTTGTTATATAATTTTATTGACTGTCCGCGGGCACGCGTTTTTCTTACAAGCGCTTGATGATCGCCGATAAGTCAATAATATAATTTGTTGTAATTAATTGTATTAATAGATGGATATTGGATAATCGTTAATGATCTAATGTCGTACACTATACACGAAATCACCACCACAGTAAGCCTACCAGCAGAGACCTGTATTGGAATCCAGATATAGAGTCTATACAACCTCCCAGTGTCGTGTATAGGGGGGAGGCCCCCTAGGCCAGAGCCCATAGTGAAATTGTAGGTTCAATTACTTAAAGCATTTCATGTATATCTACACTGTTTACAGTTTTTGACCATGATTAATTTAGTCAGTTGATTAAAATCGTTTTTGAGGAATCCACAAAGAAATGATTGTCAGGACTTGTTTTGATGACTGATTCACAGTTAGAAAACATTAAAATATATATATAAATGACATTGTCAATATTTTTTAAAAAAGAATTAAGAAATTAATTTTACATTATTATAAAATTAAATTGTGCAATTTTTATTTGTATTTTATATGTCATAAATCATAATTATAACCACCCAGCTCCCAGAAATATGTATAGTATTATGGCTATGTTAGTCGGACTATGCTTGGATAGTGATAAATTGCCCAAATTGGCCCATAGTGAAAATAATTTGTATATACGCCACTGCAACCTCCAATGAACTTCTCCGGGGAATTGAGCCATTTCGGCCATCGGGCCATTAAATGGCATTTACTCCTACCAGCCCAAACTTAAAGCGGCCCTGATTATATTAAATTGAAAGTCACAAAATCGAAAACCTATTAATACCTATCTCGATACTCGATAGAAATACTATTTTAGTCATTTCTGAGGGTCATTACGGCTCATTACGACGGTCGCCGGTTCAGTGAAACTGAAACCCGTCAGTTGCAAACGTAACATGTAATGACATGGCTGGTTGGTCGTAGGGAGCCGGGGAGAATAGGCTGCGTATCATAGACGCTTTTGAACCTGGGTTCACGACAGTAATTGCCGTGCCACTGCGCCGTGCATACCCGTATTTAACTGGCTTTAGACGTTTTATTCACTGTTTATTAATTATTTACTAATTATTATACGTATATTATCCATCTAACAATCTAACATTTATTATTATATTTTATATTTTTATAAGCATTACAGGATTTTTTCGTATTTTAAAATGCAAAAAGAAAATATAATAGAATTTTTACTGACCAGTGGTTTTAATGCCTTAACATATGAACAAAAAAATCAAATAAAACTTAATCGCCCAACTCCTCATTTATTATTAACATGTCAAGACGGTAAATATATCAGAACTTTTCAAAAGAATTGGTATAATAAATTCCCATGGCTTACTGGTTGTGATAAACGGAATAAAGTGTTTTGTTTTACTTGTGTAATATTTGGAGGGGAAAAGGAATGGAGTGTTAATGGATTGTCATCAATAAAATTTTTTTTAAGGAAATCAGAAAAACACGCCATTTCCCAAAAACATTTAACTAATCAAGAAAAATTTCATCTGTTGGGTAAAGTCCGAATTGAACACGCGATTTCAGAAGGTCGACGACTTGCTGCTGTAAAACATAACGAACAGGTCGGTATAAATAGACGTTTAATAGCACGTATGATACATGTTGTTTGTTTTTTGGGCAAACAAGAACTTGCTTTTCGTGGCCACCGGGAAAATAATGAATCTTTAAATAAGGGGAATTATCTTGAATTACTCGAACTACTGGCTCAAGAAGAGCAGTTGCTTAAAGAACACTTATTATCATCGGCAATATTTAAAGGGACATCTAAGATGATACAAAATGATTTGGTTGAATGCGTTACTTCCGTTTTGAATTCAAAAATTTTTAATGAAATACAAAGAGTTAATTACGTATCTATTCAAGCAGATGAAACGACTGATGTATCGTGCCGATCCCAAATGAGCATAATTTTTCGGTATGTTGTAGAACAAAAAATTGTAGAACGGTTTATTGGTTTTTTCGACGTTTCAAAGAATAAAACAGTCTCTGGATTAGCAGATATAATTTTATCTGAAATTAATAAGTGGAAAATTGGAAATAAAATTATATGTCAGACCTATGATGGTGCATCGGTTATGTCGGGAGAAAAAAGTGGTGTACAATTTCGTATAAGGCAAATTTATCCAAATACATTATTTATTCATTGTTACGCACATCAGTTGAACTTGGTATTGTTACACGGGGCAAAGACAATAAAATCAGTCAAACTCTTTATTTGCAGTCTAACTATGTTCCATACGTTTTTTAGCCGGTCTACAAAAAGAAGTGAGTTGTTAAGAGAACAAGGTTTTAAACTTCCAAATCAATCTGACACTAGATGGAATTATCATTCAAGAGCTGCTTCTACAATAAAAAAACATTTTTTGGACCTAAAAAATGGTGTTTTGCATGTAACTGAAGAACCAGGTTGGGACCCTATATCCGTTTGTACAGCATCTGGTCTTTATGATAAGCTAAATGATGCGAATTTCGTATATTTCTTGATTTCGTTTAGCAAAGTTTTTTTATACACAGATCATGTATTTAACTTTCTCCAATCAAACTCACTTTCGAATATAAAATCTTGCATTTCTGAAATTCAAAATTTAAAAAAAAATTTGTCCGATTTAAGAAATGATACGAATGTGAATAACTGTTGCGACGAAGCAATACTATTAAACAACAATTTAGAGTATGAAGACAAAAAACGAAACGAATTATGTAAAATTACATATGAAATTCTAGATTCATTAATCGTCCAAATTAACATACGATTTGAAGATTTTCCAAAACTAGAGTTTGTAGAAATTGTAAATGAAAAAATGTTTAAAAGCTACTACTCTGAATTTCCTGAGTCAAAGTTCATCAAGTTATTACAGCTGTACCCTAATACTTTTGATGCAGATCGCTTACGCAATGAATTGGCTGTAATTTATGCGGATGATAGAAAACATTTGCCTCCTCATGAACTTCTAGATTTTATAATAAAAAGTAGGTGATAATAATAAATTCATTCAAACTAAATATCATTGATTTTCATATTATATTTAATTTTTCCTTTGAAATTCACAGGTGATTTACATCAAGATATTTATCCGCAGGTGACTAAACTTTGTCAGTTAGTGTTAACTATTCCATCTACGACGGCTTCTAGTGAACGGTCTATGAGTACATTAAAACGTATCAAGACTTTTCTTAGAAACACAATGACCAATGAGCGGCTTTCAAGTTTATCATCCTTGGCGATTGAAAAAAATCTACTGGGTGATATGGCAAAGGATCCAACTTTTGTAGACAATGTTATTGACGAGTTTGCAGATAAAAAAGATCGCAGAATTGAATTAGTTTATAAACAAATTTAATATTAAATTAAGTTAAAAATATTAAATATTAAATGAAATATTAATATTTAATATACTTAATTTTTTCAATAAAAAGGTTTTTCTTATTCGTTGTTATATGGAATTTATGTCATATAATTTAAGTCTCCCCAGAATATTTACTCACGAGCCGCTACTGGCAATAATTCACTGATATTTAAAAATTAGGATAATTTATGAAAATATTCCTTTCATCATAATAAACAAAAATAATTTTCATTCGTTCTTGGGAAAAACACTTGGTAACAAAAATATTCCAGATGAAAACAGCTATTACTGTAAGTTACTTGCTAAATGTATAGTAAAAAATATGGACATTTTTTATTAAAAACTTCTTTTTCTGTCACCCATTAAAATTTTTTCTATTTTTTATAGTACAATTCTTATAACAATATGATGGTGATCAATTTCATAAAAACAATAATTCTTTAGCCTTAATAATTACAAACAAAAACCAATCTTCTAGAATTCAGATAATCAGATGCCGACATATGGCCAGAATTAAATTTTTTTTGGGTAACAGTACAGTACATACTTTGGACCGTAATCATAAGTCTTTGACTGGATAATATGCGAAGTGGATAGTAAAATCTGTAATGACTCCTTGTGGTATTGGCTGCACGTTATTATACCGGGGTCCTTGAGGCTGTTAAACGACTGTCTCAAAACGTCATCCGGGTACTGTTTAAATGCCTGCAAGTAACTTAATGAGATCCTCGGGTTGGTACTCTTGTTGCTCAACGAGCTCTGAAAATACACCGACAGCAAACAGTCAATAATAACCAGGGCTCAAATGTTGATGAATTGTATTATTTCTTTTTTTTTTGGTTATGTAATTTTTTGATATTTTTTTATTATATAATATTTTAAGTGAAGAAGACACAGTTGAATTATATCACATTATCTATTTTTAAGAATAGTTAATTTTATATTATTATAAGTATTTTATCAACTCATTATTATGTTGAACTAATTTTTGTCAAAAACATTGCATCTATAGAATAAGTGAATACTAGCTGATGTACCTTAGAATAGCATGAAAAGGTTCATGGTATAAATATCTTAAAATCAGTACAAATATTTTGAAAATGATAATAAATATTATGGAAAAACAGGTTTGAGGCTCTGTTTATTTTGAAATAATAATTTATGAGGGGAAAAATGCTATGGGGAGGGAGCGGGATGTTAAACAGCCAACCCCCTGGCTACGCCACTGTAAGAATATATATAATTTTAAAGCAAGTAAATATAAAAACAATTAAGTGTCCTTATTTGAAATCTGGAATTAAGTCCTCCCCCCCCTCCCCGCGTGTAAACTTATGAGGTACAGATTATAGACCTGTAAGGGCTGTCAATTTTATCCTCAGGCCCGGCCCGGTCCGAAAACTATTGTGAAAAAAGGCCCTGGCCTTCTCCAAAAATAATGCTAAGCTTGTAAAAAGTCCGGTCCGGTCCATCAATTTCATCCTCAAGCTGGCCCGAAACTATCCAAAAAATATTATGAAAAAAAAAACCCCAGTCCGGCCCAACATTTTTTTTATGGTTGGTTTTGTTCAAAAATGCTTGGTCTTGGGTTTTTTTTTGTAGGACTGGTTAAAAAATGTAAAATTTTTACATGACAATGTCTTATGACATTGGTATTTTAATGATAACTGGTGTTGATTTACCTATTAAAATCCTTAAAAAGCCTGGTCCAACCCTTGATTTATTAGTCCAAGTTCAGCCCGGCCCGAAAAATTTTACAAAAAAAAAACCCAGGCCCGGCCGTCGTAATAAAATTCCAAGACTTAAAAAAGCCTGGTCCAACCCTTTATTTTATTTCAAAGACCCAGCCCGGTCCAATGTCACTACGGGCCGGGCTTTTTAAGGACCAGGTCGGGCCGGCCCGGCCCTTGCAGGACTTTAGTACAGACTTAAAACATAACTGTCGACGTAATGATTATTGTTAATGTAAAACATAAGCTGTCGACATAATGCTTAAGTAGTTCCGGCAATCGTTGATGTCACAAAGAAAAAAAGACTTAAATAAGAACAAATACACTCTTTCTGTACATGTATTTTAAAAAAATGTGCATAGTATTTCCCTATTTTTATATTTTATGCATAATACCATTGAAATGACATGTGATACACTTACGTGTATGAGCAAAGTGACAATTGATATGGTGATTTCATTCAAAGTGAATATATAATCAATTTCTTGCACAAAGTCCAGTTGGTTGCAAATCGGCTCGGAATAATTGAATTCCATCTCCAGAACATCTGGTGTAAATTGACTAGTTGTTGTATCACACATATCTGATTCTTGTACCACCTCTACTGGTTGTATGCTAGTTGATCTCTTACTTTTATTTAGTATGCATGAAGTGTCTATAGTCGTACCACGTTCACGCAACAACACTATAAACTGTTTAATATTTGAAACAATAAGATCCCTCATCGCCTTGTATTTCTTGGTGTTGTGCAATTCGTGTTGTTTCTCAATGTCTCTCTATAAATTAAATCATATTAATGGTTAGTTAACAATTTTTATTCAAATAATAAAGATAATAAGTAATAAATACTTTAAATAATTCTTGTATTTCTTCATCATCCTTCAACTCCTTGTACAAAATATTTACTTTAGTTTCTATAGAAGAATGTCGCATCAAATACCGTATTCGCCTCAAATAGTTGTCGATACTTTTACAACGATAATACTGAAAATTGAAGTATATTTTAAATAGTTGAAAAAGATAATTGGTAATAAGTTAAGTATGTATTTTGGAAAAATATTTGTTTTTCAAGTTAAATTAAAAATACAATGAATAAAAATCATAAATATTTTCCTTTTATTTAAAATTTAAATCTGTTTAGTAGGTTAACATACTTTTCCAAATATTGATCTGAACATTTCTTTAATACCATAAGACAGAAACGCATGCGATTTAACCTGTTTTATGAGCATTGCACCCAATTTCCAAAATAAAAGTACTTGATTCTCAACTGATGTCCACTTATATCTCCTGGTTGTTAAATGATTGACAGTTAACATTTTATAAGGTTGTTTAATTTCATAAATACTCACACTGTAAATAACTGATTTTTAGTCATTTGAGCTTTTTTCTTTTCTTTTGCTTTACGTTTTTTTAATCTCTGCATTAATATAAGATTAAGTTTGGTTTTTCTTCTAGAAGCTGACATTGCAGATGATTTTTTTTTTAAGCTCCAATTGCGTGTAAGATGCCTAAATAACACAACATTTAGAAAGTTACATTCAATTAAAAATTAAAAGAAATTTGACATTAAAAAAAATAATGTTAAATCAATAATATTAGGTTAATTTATATCAGATACAATATTTGTACTTTTATTTGAGTCCTCCATTCTGTTTGTTGTTGTTCATGCTTTTTTTATAACTTCATTTTTTGGAAACTATTACTATATTGGATGGCAATGTTTATTTATTAAATATTTTATAGTTTTCTTAAACTAAACAAAATAAATAAATGCGGCCATCCAATTCCCAGACTTAGCGATTTACAAAAAATGGGTATAATAAAAGTTATTCATAAAGACAGTAGGACATCACTAAAGACCGGATTTATATTCTCTTAAAATACCCAAAATATGATGCTAATATTCTCTAAAAAACCTTCAAATATTCTCATTATATTCTCTCAAAAATTTAAAAAATATGCAAAAAAAATCAAAAAACATCATTATATGCTTTAATATGCATTTATTTTTTAAAATTTTATTTTCAACTATATTTTTATAGTGAGATATTAATTAGGTATTAAGAGTTGCATATTATACCTCATGGAATAGTATTGCACTTTAGCAAGAGTAAGAAGTTGGAATATAATATAAATACAACAGTATAATATTAAAACACAAAAACAAAATTTTGATATTTGAATATTTGATAAACTTATAAGTTGATCTTATCAGTAGATATACATAGATAAACCTTGATAATACTGCGTGTTTTATTTTTATCAAAATGAAAAAAATAAATAAATTGTAAATGGTCAAAAAAAATTTTTCAGAGTACCGTAATATTCAAATTAATAAAAATAAATACAAATTTTTGCTCACAATTTACGAAATATTCCAAAATATGCTAAATGGGTTAAATATTCTCCAACCCATGAAATATTCTCAAATATGCAAAAAAAACTTTTTTCTACGCATTCAGAATTGAACGAATCGTCCACATTTTTTACTCTCATAAGACTGCATAGACCCAGTAACGATATGTAAAAACATATAAATCCGGTCTTTAGACATCACATTATATAGTGTTTGTCATTGAATATGTAGGTTTCTTAACTTTTTAATATGAATAATATTATGTTTAATATTAATATTATACATAATAAGCTGTTCAATAGAATACAATTGATTTTCAATTTTTTGTTTGAATATATGAATTTTAACCTCAGAAAAACAAAATTTCTGTATGGAATTAATCAGACAATTCAACACAAGGGTAATAAGTTATGAAATTTAATTTTCAATAAAACCTAATAGCAGCTTATGTTACTAGTTATTGAATAAATATAAAATATTAGAAACTATATAGAAGCAAGTTGAAACCCTCTTTAGATTCATAAATTAAAATAACATAAATAAAAATAGATACGTATAATGACAAAAAAAATTTACGCAAATAAATGACTGTCGAATCCAGCAGCTCCTTTGCTATCACCAGGTATTGTCCCATCATCTTGGGACATAGCTTCTAATGGACTTCTAGGAATACATGCCAACTCTATGGCTATTTTACTTTTATCAGCAATCTCCCTTCGTTTAGGTTTATTTGAAGCATTTGAAATCCTATAACCTAAAATGATAAATTATTAAATAACTAATAATAATAATTCATAAATATATTAGTATAATTATTCTTAATTTGAACATTTTACCTAATGGTGTATTTGTACAAAAGTACCAAGTATCCAACCAAAATGTTTCTAATTCATAATTGCTGAAAAATTCATAAGTACGTTTTTCATATTCTATATCAGATATTCTGTAATAGCCGGGGCTACTTTTTACAGTATTCAACAAACTGGCTCGTCTATTTAAGTATGCATAGATCTAAATTCATAACAAAAATATTATAAATTTGGTCATAAAATACTTTTATTTATTTTTTAACATTACTATTTTATTTATTTACCAATTCAGTATCTTTGTATGTTTTCTCACCAAACTGTACTAACCCAATTGTGCAAAGTAAGCGTAATGCATTTAGAGTATGTTGTATGTGTCTGCAATTTTAAAAGACAAATTTATTTCTTGAACATTGCATCTTATTAATAAATATTACTTTTTTAATCCTTGAGATAACATGCTACGTACTTCAGACGAAAGTGTCATCAGGGGTAAGTATTTGAACACTGGATGTGTGGCATATGTGACAAGTTTTTCTAGATTTACCTTAGATTTGTTAAAATTTACAATTTTTAACATCATATCTAATGGCATGTGATGGATAATGTCACTCACAAAAAACCAACCATTAGGATATTCTAAAACATTATAATACAAAGTCTACTTTATAATACTACAGTTTTAATTTTTAAATACAGCACAATTAATGATTAGTTCCCAAACAATATGAATTTTTTAGTAATGAGATATAAATTTAAATTAGAATCATACTACAATTTTAAAAAAAAAATATTAGAAAATTGCCAAAATAAATTATTTTTTATTAATATTATTATGACGTGTAATAAATTAATTATTTCAAAGTTATAAATCAAGAATTTGAATTAAAATAGAAAATTATATATTTAAATTTAAAATATTTTAATTTTTACTTGGATATTTTGGTAAGGGTGGCACAAACATTTTCCAACCAACAGAGGGAAAGTAAACTTTTGGTAGGTCAGCCTTTTCTCCATGGATTATATCATTTCGATAACTTGTGACAGTTGCCTCAGTCTCATTACAAGCATTTAATAAACTTTCTCCTGGATGATCATACACTAAATAATACAGATACTCGTGTAATGATCTCATTTTCATAAACCTCGGAAGTTTAAGCTCTGATATATTCTAAAATTAAAATACATTAAATTTCAATGCTTGGTTGATTTTAAAATCATAAGTTATACAACATACAATTTTTGGCTCTGGCGATTTGTATACTATTAAGTTCCATTTTTTGTCGGCTCTAGATGCTTTCATTGTGTTGTTAAATCTATTCAAGAAACTATTCATATATGAAATTGCTTCTGGGTTCGCTAAATAATTAAAAATAAAAACTTATTAGAATAATAATATTTATTTATTTCACCAATAACAGTAGATTACTACAATATTAGAAATAGCAATAACCGTATTGGTCTACTCATATATAAATAATAATTATTGTATTTTGTAGAACTCAATTAATTAATTACAATTAATATTTAAATAATAATATATAGTCCACTATACATAAAATAATTATTTTTAGAAGTTAAAATATTTTGATTAAGTTTGCAAGTTAAGATTTTGTTACTATAATATTATATAAGACACATTTTGGTTTCCCTTGGTAATTTTTGTATCTTATACTTGGAAGATTATCTAGAAGAGATACCACAAAGATCAATTTCAAGGATCGATATATTATATTCAGCAGGTAACATTTAGTTTTGGTAATTTTAATATTAGAGGGAATTGACCTATTATATGTATAATTTAAAGGAAACATTAATAGGCACTACTTGTGTTCTAATGAAGACTTTTTCAATATTTTTTTTGGGACCAAGTTGTAAGTGTGAATAATATTACAATTTAAAATACTCATAATTGGCTTCAAAATATTTATGCTAAACATGAACTGCTGAACGTAAATTTACTGTGTAAGACAGCAGTGGCTTGGTTAACATTTATAAACCATGATGCCCAGCATATATTTCTTTATCCCCTTAATATACTATTATATAGAACATATAATTATTATGTGACCGTAAATATTTTAATTTTTGTTTTATGTTATTGGTTACCATAATGTATCCAAAAACCTCATTCCCTCCCACAAAAAAACATTCCAAAATGATGCCTAGGCGACATAAAACCCATTCCCCCCATGCCATACACCAAATAGTGGTGTCCTATAATGAAATACTATGTGGTAATTATTTGTTATGAAATTGTTTGTAGTATTGATAAGCAAGTTGATCGTAGTGATTACAAAGAATCATTTATTATATGGTTGTAACTTGTAAGTTATTAGGTAGGTTTATAATAAGCTAGGCACAAAAAATGATAATCGTAGACCTATAAAGATATCTCTACATATTTTAATATTGTTTATATTAATTTATAAAGTAATACTTGTTTATATTTTAATAGTATTCGTTCTCTGAACAATTAATAATAACTAAATAGTTATACATTATACTCACTAAAATCAACATTAGGAGTTGCAACAAATGATTGATTCACAGTTTTTGTATCATAAGTAATTCGATATCGAACCGTTTTAAGTTTTCCCAACTTTTCAAAATGACCAATAATTTTAATTAATGTTTTAATATCAAGGGTTCCAATAAACTTTGGTTTCTCTTTTTCAGTTTCTATAATATGCTAAAAGAAGTAATTTAATTTATAATTATCATTACTTGTATTCTGTACTAACAAGATTTTATTTATAATTCCTAAAATTATAATATAATTGATTTATTTGGTATTTACTTTTTTTAGTTTAATCAAGCTTGTTATACTTTCTGTAGACAACATATTGAATATGATTTGTTCTCGAAAATAAAACCTATCAGTCAAACTCACGGTTTGACTAAAAATAAAAATAATAATTAGTATAGTACATTATTTAATTAAGATTTTAAAATGTAACAATAAATATTTATGATTTTTTGCTTACTTCAACCTTTCATACATTGTTTTGCAATACTCGTGTTCCATTGTTCGTGTAATTGCTTGTTCAATGTCACTTTGATTAGTATTTTCATCCTATTAAAAAAGTAATAACCAAGTTCATTAATATATTTAAAAATAATAGTACATGATACTAATCTTAATTGGTCATTTAAATTGAAGAAATTACTTATTCTTAATATTATTATGATTTATGAATTAATAATTCGTTTTTAAATATAAACATAAGTATAATTTAATTTGCACACAATTCTATTAATAATTTGTTATTCAATATTATGTATAGTCAACTATTATATTATTCTTACAACAACAATTATTTTAAATAAATATAAATAAAGTTGTATAACTTTAATAACTTGTACTTTTTTTAATAGATTATTAAAAATATGTAAATAAAGTTATGAGTAAAATTCATACTTGATCCGAAATGTTAATTAAAGTATTGTTTGAAGTAACATCATTGTCTGTCTCTAGATTATTATAATTGTATAAATTCTGACTAGACTCATCACAATACTCAATTTTTATTGAAGTTTGTTCGAGAGCTGTTTTAATAGATATATTGTTCGTGTTATCTACAGAAGTATTGATCAAAATATCATTTATCACATTGATTTCTGATTTTGGTTCTTGATTTTTTGTAACAAGCAAATTTTCTATTTCAATATTATCATTTTCATATACTGATTTATAATTATTAGCAATATAACTAAAAAAAATAAAGTATATTATATTGGTTTTAAATCTATTTTATTATTGATTTTACAAAATTCATTCAATAATTACCTGAAAGCTTTTGTTCTACCTCGATCACAATAACTCTTAGTTAAATAGTTCAAATTTGTAAGTTTTTTTAAAACTCCTTCTAAATTACCATCAGTAGTAAATCTGAAAGCACGAGATATGTCAGAAAGTGTTACGCCTACATCACCATGTTTTTCAATCCATCTAAGAATCTGACGTTCAAATGTACAATCTTGTTTAAACTCACGACCTTTAAATGAAAATAATATAATTTTTACTATGTATGTGAATGGTTGTATTCAATTTTTTAATGGGTACCTTCGACATCAGTTTTGTTTTCTTGTTCTTTGTCGGGATTTTTTGTATCTTCACTATTTTTTAATTTTATACACCTTACAACCTTTTCATTTTTACGTTCATTCTTACATGAATATTCATTTTTAGTAGCATCTGGATATAAATCACGATACTTGAGCAGCTGAAATAATAGTTGTTCACAATTTAATTACAATTTTCGACATACATTTAGATATATTTATCTTACTAAGTTGGTATAACATATTTTTTTAATCTGAGGTTGCTTAAATGTTTTTGATAAACTAATATTGCATTCAGCTTTCACTTGATCATATGAAGCTAATGAATTAGGTTGTGATTTCAAATAATCTGTAATTCTTGATACCATTACATCAATCATAGATTGTCGTTTAACAAAAAATCGATTCAAACTTGAAATGACAATACGATTAGCCACTTGTCCAGAAAAAGCAAGTGACTTACATAAAATAATAATGAAAATATAAAAACCCAAAACTATAATATTTAGAATAAATATGACGGATCCTAAGTTACCTGATTTTTTATCAAACCATCATCAGTTAATCGGTTTCTCATATAAGATAATGCTTTAGGATCTGAAGAAATAGCTCTTAATGAATGAGTACCAAAGGATGCTTCTCCTAAATAACGTGAACGGCCAATTCTCTCTAATATTAAATAATAACGAAGTGATATTTGTAAGGTACACTGTTTATCTTCTGGAATTAAAGCTTTTGTGCGTACTTCCTGGTTGGCGACTATAACTAAACATCTGCCCCATCTGAAAAATAATACAGCTGTTGATAATTTCTCCTAGCTGAATATTATTTGAAAATGTGCAAACCGTTTTTCCGCTTCTTCGACTGATATTTTCCTTGGGTATGATGCCAGATTGAACCTTGTAAAATATTCTTTACAAGATCCCATAATTGTACCATCTTCAACAGGACAATTTGGATAAATGTCTTGTGGTATATTTTCCTGAAGATCAATTTAAATAAAAATTCAAGGTTCAAATATAAAAACTACTAAAATACATACCGGCTCATAAATTGAACCAAATTCACTATGAATATATTCAAATCGATTAAATATTATCAAAGGATCCCTAGGTTTATCAAGTCTATAAAATTCTACGTTCTTCAGACAAATCACAAACGACCAAATAATCTTTTTGATTGAATCGTCAACCGGTTTTAAGGGCCAATTACAATTGTTTGATAATCTCTTGCACAAAGCTGTCAAACAGAATAGACATTAGAATACCAAGTCATACAAAACAAAGTCTTGTTTAGGTAGTGCTTTTACCTTCGATAGTAATTCCATCTAAACCTTCAAGTGCTATTTCATCCAAAATAATAGCACTAAAATCTTTTTGAAATCGATGCATATTTATTGGTGTATTGTTTTTGGTCTGATTATCGAAGCATGGCTTAGAAAATTACATATTATCACCAACAACGAAAACACATACACTACATTTTTAGACCAAATTAATTTCGAATACAATAATTTACTTAAATTCAAACGTATTTATGTAAATATTAAATAACAATACTGTAATGATCAACTGAAAAATAAAATTATATACTGTTACAAGTACATAGCATTGGTTGGTATTTTACATGTAACGCGTTGACGGTAAAATACGTTCGTATTTACGTCGTTTACAACCATTCGTTCAATAATTTACCGAGTTAATTATAAAGGATGAATACTGGAAATTGGAATAGGAATTACAATTATACAAATTAATAAGGAGCTACGGAAGACGAAATTACGAAATACAAAAAAGGCAAAATATGCTATGCCAGTTTATGGTGATTATATATTATCACAGTTCTAGATAAAATTAGTGATAAAAAACTTATCAATTTTATGGCCGGCGGGGGGTGGATCTGTAACGGGCCCATAGAGTAATTACCACGATATATATATAATATCTTAAATCGTGGTAATTACCAAGGTGTAATTCAATGAACGGAGAAAACGGGCCACTGGACATAATATAAAATTATATACAACGTGTCCGTTACAGCTATTCACTTGACACTTTCTATCACCAAATTCCAATAGACCATCTATTAGCATCAACGTACAACCATTTAAAAACTGAATTCGTAAAAAGACTTCCAACAAAACACAGATTATATTCTAACCACGGTCTTAGAAGATGTTCTAAGACCGTGGTTCTTACCGCCAAATTTCATAATATCGATTCAAGGCGGGTTTCCACTACACACGTTTGCCGTGTACACGAAAAATGTTCAGCTATGTCCATTGTCCAACAACACGGTATCATTGTTAACCGTGTGGTAACTGATCGTAAACAACCAATCACAGCAAATGATTTGTATGCACGTACTCGTATCCGTGTATAGTGGAAACCCGCCTTCACTCTAATTTTTAAGCTAACCGCATAAAACTTGAATTTCTCAGCATAAATTTGACAAGTTACGTGTATGTAAAAAGGAGACAACACATGCGGGTGTGGCGTCCTCTTAAGATGTTATTCAAAGAAAAGTAAGTAGAGATGTTATTCTGTGCTAGCAGGGACGAATCTTAGCTTTTTAACACCAGGGGAAAATTAAAAATATACGGTTCATCTCAAGGAAATTACCAAAATTAGTACTTTTTTTTACGAAAAATCAAGCACTTAACACACTCACACAGCATTGTGAGGACCAACATTTACAAAACCTTTTGCAATATACTGGACCAATAATTTATTTAGGTACCACAAATAATTTAAACGATTTTAACTTAAAAATGAAACATTTTAAATTTTAACTAATCAAGTAATAGTTTTAGAAGCACTTCTTAATGGTTTGTTTAAAGCTAAGATCCACAGCTGCTGCGGTCAATATTTCTAAGTTTCAGGTTTAGAATAAACAATGTTGATAATAATAACATGTATGAATTATCTATTATAACAAATCTAAATTAGGTATCCATTGCTTACTTTTAATATGAAAAGTTTTATGTAAAAGAACAATATTTACTTTTCAACATAACAATATAGGTTTATAAATTTTTAATATTGTTACAATCAAAACTTATATGTAGGTAAGGAAAAAATACAATGAACAAAATGTAATTATGTACTGAAAATTTGTAATAATATATTGATTATAACATGATACAGCAATTACTTTATCATGGAATATACTTATGGATTAATGTATATACTAAAATATCTCCCTCTACCTTTATAAATTTCTAAAATAATAAGAACTCGGGTTGTCGATTTGATTTCTTAAACCATAAAAATAAATTAGGTAAAAAAAACAGTTAATAATAAAAAAACTAACCAAATAGAATATAAATTTTCCTTTTAAATTATTTTAATATAATAATATGTAAAACATAATTTTCAATCAGACTTGGGCTACATATCAATTGGATAGGTAGTGTTTTTGTTTTAATTATTTAATTATGTTGTACTTTTGTAACCATCTACATAAATACATAATATAATAGTACCTATCGACGTCTCAATTCAAGACAGCAGCAACTCGACATTTAACAAATCCGAGTTATGTACACCATCTTATAGACATAATATTAGTTAAAACTCATGAACACGTAGTCCACGAGAGAGCATTCTCAATATTATAATTTAAATTACGTTACATAGTGAAAAAATATAGAAAACCCGTTACACCCAATAAACCAATATTTTGAGTTGTTGCAGTCCTGAACTGGGGCGATGCTATAATATACAAGAAAACGATGTAATTTACCAAACTTGTCATTAATGTCACTAATCGGAGAGTACATTAATATATGATGGTTAGGTTAGGTTAGGTAGGTACACTCTCGCCGACAGTTGCGGACGGGTATTTCCACGGCACTGCGTGCCTATTTCATAATATATCCTTTTTAATTTTTACATCAATGTTATTAGTTATTATACTTAACTCGATTAAAAATAAAATTATAAAATTTCCTGTGAAATATTATTTTGTACCTAGTTTTAACTTTTGTAAGTCCATTTTCAATTTTCAAATTTAAAACCTTAAAAATACGCCCAAGAAAATTATACACGATTATCGGGATAAATCTCCGACTTATAAGTGATGTACCAATTAATTGAAATCATTACTTACCTAATTAGAACATTTTGATCTAATTACTAGGTGTTTAATTCAATTTTTCAGTTTTAATCAATAATTTAAGTTAGATAACTTATCATTTACATTTTAACAAAAGGTTTTTTAATCTATAAAAAAAACTTCTACTCTGACTTAAGTTACTATTTTCACCAAACTAACTTCTAACTAACTAAGTTAGAAATTTGGACAGTTTCAGAAACTAACTTATATTCTAACTTAGTTAGTTTTTTAATTAAAGTAACTTAACTTTAACTAGTTGAAAAAAGTGACTAACTTGCCAGATGCCCAGATTGGTACTGAGTAAATTGTTATATTTTTCTTTTATTTATGACGCTGTTACCCCTATAACATTGCCGTCTATAATATAGTTATATAATATTTTCTGTAAATATGCAATATGTAATATAATAACTTACTATTATTGTAAATTATTATTTACTAAAATATATTTAATATTTCTGGTTTTTTTTTATATAATTAATTTTACAAAATATCTATCTATCTAACCATTGATGACCATCACTTAATTTGTGAGATATTTTGTTATTACAAATAAAAATGTATGACTTTTAATTATTTCACATAATGATATAATATACCTATCAAACAAGTGTGAAAAGGTTTGTAATATATGTATTTGTTTATTTGTAATACGTTAAAAATATATTATATACAATAAATAATATCCAAATCCGAACTCATTTCCCATGATAATATATAATTAATAGTAGATCATAACTCATAAGTAATAGGTACCTAATAATAAATATACTCTATTAAATATAATAAAAGTAAGGTAATCAAGCTAAATATACATTCCAAACCACATAATTTATATTTTACTATAATTTAATAAGAATAACAGTATGTTAGTTAATTTATTATTATTTATTACAATATAATGCATAGTCTGGATTTTTAAAAAGGCGAGTGGTGGCCAAAAAAAAAAAACATTATAAAAATGTAATGTACGTTCCGGGGTAGTGGATGTTACAGGCAGTGTAGCAAACAATTGAAGAATCTTGTAATTATAGTATGTGTCAGTCTTTTTTCAATTTGTTAATATTTTATCAATGATTTTGGTTGGACGCCAACGTTGCAAGATTATCAAGAGGAACATCGTACAACAGTTTAGTATACAACTTTTTAACATCTTGAAATGATTTTGTGAAAATTTCAAATTGTTCTAGGAGATATTAGGAAAGTTTAAAGAGTAGTTTGAACCATGTTCGATGTATACCAATAACTATATCCAATCTGCCATTCGATGGTATAAACTAAACTATCGATATTTGAAACATTGAAAATCAATTTGATGAATTTTAAAATTAAAAAAATTAAAAAAAATTAAAAACTGGAATTTATCAACCAATTACTAATAACAGCTTCATATTTTTCTAACCATTTAATGTTATTAGATACATCTTCTAGTGCAGATATTCGTTCATATTTTCCAGCCCCAGCTTCCGGATGTTTTTCAAAAAATATTTTCATCTAAAAAATTTAATATTTATATAAATATTATGCATGTTAAATAAACAGAAACCTACCGATAACCTCAAATAAAACATTCGAGATGTTGTTATCCACCAACATGTTTTAAGTTAGTTCAGAATAAATAATATTTACTTCTGTAATACGTTCTTGAGTATTAAAACGAGAACAAACTGAAGGAATGAGATTACCAAGTTGCCAACTATTAAGAGAAAAACGATCAACCAAGTACTGCCAATTGTCTCTAACATAACATAAGTTAAATTAGAAAATATTTTAAATTGTACTGTACCTATGGTTTTAAAATGTAATTAAAATATATATATATATAGGTACCTTAAAAAGTCCCAAACAAATTGAGTTCCAAAAGGATTATGGCTTATCTGTGATATGATTTTTAAATAATCTTCGGAATTAACATGGCTATCATTTTTTGCATTTTGCAATAGTCTAGAATAGAAAAAAAATACATTTAATTCTATATGAATAAATTTAGGTGCACAATTTACCTAGTTAATATTGATATTTCTTTTGAGGCTGTCAATGCATCCCTAAGTTTCTCTTTTTCCTGAGGGTCTTGTTCATTTAAGAATAAGTCCCACAATCTATACCATTCACTATCATTGCCCACAGACATTCCTAAATATACAAAATACTTATTTATATTTTAAATAAATGATGAATAAAGTACCGACATTTTTTAATAAATGCATTTAAAATTCTACTCACCATAGTAATAAACTGTGTATCTAATATCTGGATGTGGTTGTATTTTATCATCCAAAAATCGTTTGAATAATTCATATGCTTTTGTGTGACATCTTGGTAAACCATACGAACATCCTAATTTGAAAATGACTGCTCGAAGCTTACGTTGTAATAAGTTTCGATCTGCACTTAAATCGTTCCATAAGTCTTCTGTTATACTTTCCAATAATTGTTGTATATATATCTTTAAAAATAAATAAATATGTTTATATATTATGTAACGTCCTAATTCAAAAATCTGCCATGTAATCACTAAATACCTACGTAATGAGATAATGAGATTAATTCTGAAGGGCATTGTATTTAGAAAACATTTTAAGATTTATTCTGTTACTTAAGATATAAAAAAAGTAACTAATGTTGAGTTTTTAAAATTATTTAATTATTCTCTAGGTACAAAACAGTAAAGTCATGCCATTATTCAATTATGTGTTTCCGACGTCATAATTTAACAAAAACAATTTATACCTAACATCAGTTATAATCTTTAACCGATAACTTCACTGACCACTTTGTTACCCGAATTTATAATCTAATGTTTTCAACGATTTCAACCATGTTATCATGATTTCGTCAATGTGATGCAGAAAAAAAATTGTAAATCATGTAAACAAAGTTACCCTTGTAATTATTAGTTTTGGAATAATCTTACTTCAAGGTTTTTATGAACAGGGCGTAGATATATGTGTTCACTTAATCTATTTAAGTTTGTAGCAGCTACTTCCCACGGGACATAATGATGTTCCGAAGATAAATATTTTGTCATGTTTAAAGCAATGCCATATGGAACGTCATCAGCTTTTGCCAAACTAAAAGCATCATGAATAAGATTTGAACGGTCAGCTGCACTTAAAGCCTTTAAATTGAATATTTTTAATTTAATAATATTATATAATATTATAAAAATACTTACTTCAACATTTTTTTCTAACAAATTGTTAAGTAAACACCAATCTCTCTCGGAATAGTTTATGATATAGTACCCAACTTGCCTATGATTTAGCTTTATCCAATCAGCATCAGGTATGTCAATGGTAACTTTAAAGTTAATGTTATAATTAATATCAATTGAAATATTCAACAGAACATAATATACTTACTTGAATCCTCGTCTTTGGATAACAAAAACTTATGTACAGTATTATTGTTTGAAGTGGTATAAGTGATTGGTATTTCCCATTTGTAATTATATGGAGATGGGTCATTTGATGAATTAGTATTTGGGTCGGAAAAAAATCTTTGCTGCTTTAAAGTAAGTTTAGTTCCATTCCGTACAGCCGATACAACTGGGAACCCTGCTTGACGTGTCCATGTATCCATAAGCTATTTTATTTAAATATATATGTTTACAACAAGGTTTATATGTTAAATATTATAATTTGAAGACTAACTAATAAGTCATTAAAACCTTTTTAACATTGATTGTATTTTGTGTCACCATTTGTAATTCTGTCCATAAATCATCAGTTTCAGCATTTTTGAATGCAAAACGTTTTAAATATGCGCTCACGCCAATTCTAAATACTTCTTCACCCAACAGTCCTTCTAACATTCGTATTACACATGAACCCTATGAAATAAAATTAATATGATGGACAAATACAAAAGATTGGGACTAAATAAATTTACTTTATCATATGATATGACATCAAACATTTCGGATATTTGTTGGGAATCAGAAACATCATGAACCATAGCATAAGAACTAATGCCACTATCTAGATATTGTACACGTTGGAGACCATGAATTAGAAATGATGTGTCCTAATAAACAATTCAAAATAACAAAGAATAATTGCTAACAAAAAACAAATATATAAGTAAATAAAGATACATACAACATCCCAATTAGGGTGGACAACTTGAGTAGCTTTATATTTCATGTAAGTGGCAAACCCTTCGTTAAGCCATAAGTCGTTCCACCATTTCATAGTAACTGAAAAAATTCAATAAGGTGTATATAACTATAGTTATTTATTTTAGTTATATAATTTTGATTGAAAAAACTACATCATATTGGTACATAACAAATATTAGTTAAATGATAACTAATATTATGAGCGAAAAGAGATTTATTTTTAAATTTGAAATGTTTATATTTATATACCAAGATTTCCGAACCACATATGAGCCAATTCATGAGCAACAACCAAAGCGATTGCTTCTTCGTCATCAATAGAACTTATGCTTTCATTAAACAATACTTTCGTTTCACGAAATGTCACAAGACCCCAATTTTCCATTGCTCCAGAAATAAAATCTGGGATTGGTATCAGATCTATATAGTGCAATATAGTATTAAATTATTTATTTATTAAGGTTTAAGATGAAACGGCATCCTTTTGACGCATTTGTAAATAAGTACTTTCATACACATCAATAGTCATAGTCATTATATAATAAATGTAATTTGAATTTATACCTACCTAATTTTGGTAATGGGTATTCAATTCCAAAATACTTGACGTAAAAGTTAATTGCCTTGAGACCTACATTTCGAGCATATTTCATATTTTCGGTTTGCCCATTTTTTGCATAAACCGTTAACGGAAATCCTTGATCAGCTTTTACAGTTTCAAGTGATTGAAAATCGCATACAATAAAACAAGCTAGATACGTAGACATTGGGACGGTGTTAGCAAAATGGACAGTTGTAAATCCATTTGTAGGGACATTGATCTCTTCTGACTAAAACAATATTTATTTTTCAATATTTGAAAATTTGAATTAAATAACATTTTTATATTCACCTCTTGGTTCATATTGGATAATGCTATAAAGTTATTACCAGATGGTCGAGTTAAACTAATTTTAAATTTTGATTTTAGTTGAGGCTCATCAAAACATGGAAACGCTAACCGCGCATAGAATGGTTCAAACTTTGAAGTAGCAATGTAATGTGGTTCATGGTTCTTTGAATCATTATAACTACTTTGATAAAATCCCACTTTTTTGTTCAATAAACTACCTTCAAATGATATTTGTAATTTGTATTCCCCAGCACTTAGTTCTTCATTAGGTACGACAACCAAAAATTCATGTTCTGGATATGGAAATGCTATTACAGAACTGGAATTGAGTTTTGTTGCTGTGATGTTCAATCCTTTTGAATGTAGCTGAATGTAACTTTGAGCAGTGTCCAATATTATTGTTATATTAACTGAACCAACAAATGAACCTTTTTCAATATTTGGGTACAAATTAATGGAGTATTGCTGCGGGCGAACGTACGGGGATAATCGAATCGTAGATTTCCACGGTTTAACTGCCATTATACTCTAAACAATTAATTAACTAAATGCTTTAAGACAAAAAATAAATTTACAGTTTTATTGTGGTCTGTTAGGTTAGGTCAAAAGTATGGTTATTAATCATTTTTTTATATTTCACTGTTTAAGTATCTAATAGTATAATCTTACCTATAAAACAAAAAAAAAAAAAACAATATATTATTGTATGTTTGTATTTATTTACAAATAAATGTTACCAATTCAAACTTACTGCCATGGGTTTACGTTTCATGAAGTGAAAATAAAAATGTTATTAATTTCCTACATTGCACATACACCTACTACAGTAATTAACGTACCTACGTAAAATTGTAAACCCTGGAGCATTAAAATCAACTAAAATCATTCATGAAAACTAAATCGGGAGACATATATTACAAATTTTCGCCAAACTATTTTTATGTTCTTTTAAAAATAATATTGTATTTTTGAAATTTTTTAATTGGAAAATTAAGAATTGTGGAGGATCCCTGTATTAAATTGTCGTTGTTTTTGATCCAGTATACATTTTAAAGTAAGGTAATTTTACCTGTAGTACATAATATTTGTATTTTTAATCAATATTTAATTATAATAATTTATAGGAATAAAAAGTAAAAAAAAGTTTAAGATTATGTTCTGTGGTGTACACAGATTACATCAGACTTGTACAAGCACCTGTACTAAACAGTATGAGAACGTTTAGGATTTTGAAAAATCTCTCCGTATTTCCCATACCACATATTATACCTAGGTTCATATTACATTATACAAAAAAGAATAATTATAAGCCAAATGTATAAAAATGGATGTTTGGTTGTCCGTCTATTTTTTATAAGTGTCTTAAAAACTACTGGACCGTTTTCAATATATTCCTTGATACTTGGACGGTGCTAAGATATATTTCAATACTTTTTTTTTTCAACCCCTATAGGTGTCTGAAAGGATGCTTACACATAAAATTAATTTTGGCTCACAAAAAAAGAATATGTTTTTTGTTTACTCATTGTGTTGCCATTAACAAATTATACATATAATATAACTATCATGATTAGGTAATAGAAATATTGCATATTATTATACATTTTTTTAAAAATAATTTTACAAAAAAAAACACAGGCTATTGCTACGCCTTGCGGGATAGCTGGTAAAGTAAATTATAATTATTTTGATTAGTTTTTTCTTTAATGACTTCCTTTTTGGCAATCTTCATGAATATAATATGTTGATAATAATTACCACATCCGTAATTTCACTTTATAATAATCACCGTTTGTTTTCACATCTCCACATTCCATAATTCGTATTTTCATATATTTTTCCAAAAACTCACCGAATTTGCGGGGGCTATTATAAGACCAGCTGATGAACTGTTTGTAAGCTTTTCGTCTTCTGGAATTCTATCCAATTCGGCTGTGACGACCGCCAAAACAAGTACAAACATCCATTTTATTATCAGCGTCATTTTTGATCCGATAAAATTGGCTATACTATTGTTTGCCAATATGATAAATATAATATCATATAGTATATGACGTGAACACACCTGTGATTGAACATGCATAAAAATTAGGTAATATTAAAGTCTATAAAATCTTAAATCATACGAAATTGCTCAAGTTTGGATTATACTTGCTCAAACCTGCCAATAAGGATTATTATATAATGAGGACCATATTTACGAATACTGGAAATTATTCGTACCTAAGGATGTTCCTGAGACAATAGAAATTTATGTTTTACAAATATCAATCCTGAGTTATATAACTATTTGCACTAAGGATAATATGTTTATGGTAGTGTGTTAAGTAGATTTTGGGGCTTAAATGATTTGAAAATGTTAGTTATTAGTTTATTACTATTCATCTATCAATATAAATAATTTGTAAAAATGATACAATTTATTGAATACTAAATCTAATATTACATGTAGATTAATGTTTTACAAAACCATATGTGGGGATTATTATATACTTAGTAGCTAGAAACATTTTAATAACTCAGAAACTACTATAATTAGAATTATTTTTTTAAATATAAATTAATGAATTTATGTATTTGCAAAAGTACATTATTTAATTAAATTACAATTTATAGAAAAAATTTACAAAAAAATATTTCGTTTTTGATATAATATTTAAATATGTATTTTTTTATACTAAACTACTAATTAATATAATTATAATTATTAGACGACGTTTGTTCGCTTTTTGTTATCTTTATAGCTTTCTTAAATTTTGTTCTGTTACTTAATTGCTTAGATGTTATTGCCTACATATAATATTATGTATGATAATTGTTAACTGCCAATTGGCGTAAAATATTAATATACAGTGTTTCCCAGAAGTTCCGTATCACCCTTTGTATCTAAATGGAAAATCAATATATTTAAATGCCGTTTTTTTTTTTACAGTAATAAGTATGGAAATTCTGATTGAATAGAAAAATATTTGATTATTTTTTTCAAAAATTCAAAAATGATTAAAAACTTTTTTAGGCAAATAAGTTTTTTGAAATTTCCAAGATAGCCATTTTGTTGATCGTATTTTTTAAAACAGTTAAAAAAAAAAATTTTAAATGTAAAGAAAATTGCCCAAGTTAGAGCTAATTATTATTTTGAATTTCTAAGAATAATAGTTATGTTAGCTATGCATACGGCATAATAATTTTTTTTTATAACTCAGTTAAGTAAGCTAATATGTACCAATAACAAAAAATTAAGATTTAAAAGTTAATTTAATTATAATTTAACTCAGCTTAGTCAAAACTTAATAAACACGTTTTGTTAACTTTTATTAAGTTAAAAAAAGTTAATTTGTGTAAACAACGCTTGAGTACTTATATTTATTCCAACCCAAAACTAAATTATAGACTATAGTGTTTATACTTTATACTGTATTTCTATATTATATGTTAGATTCGAATGGTATACATTTTTAACTTTAAACAATTGTTTAATGGTTTAATTGTTTATGGTAAATATTTTTTGACATGAAAACGAATTTGATTGAAATAGTGAAATATAATTAAATTAAAAACAAAATAAATTAACTTCTTAAAAAGAAAAATTAATTCATTGACTTCACGTTAATTAAAAAAGAAATGTAGTAAGTTAACAGTTAAGTTAATGAAAAACTAAAAGTAACTAGTTAAGTTAAGAAGTTTAAATTAAATTAACTTTTTACCTTAACTTTAACTTTTTAACTCGTTAATGCCCTGACTTGATTAATATGACCTTTTCATTTCGGCTCTTCTAGATTTATTAATATATTGGGCGGCTTACATGTCTCTTCTCATTGGCCTATAGTATTTACATTTACTTAAATTATTAACTATTGTTATGATATGTTATATTAATTACTGATTCACTATTTCTATATTTACTTTATCAGATTATCAAATTGATTGTATTTTTATTAACGATTCCGGCGTTTATAATCTAATAAATAAAAAATAAAAGCAATTAAAAAAACTATATGATTTTTAGATAAATTATTATTAGCCTACAAAAAAGGTATGTAGTGAGTATTGAGTGAGGCATTCATACTTAATATTATTATATTTTAACTTACTAATGTAATACAATAAATTGAAACAAATTTCCAATACATTTTGTATTTAATCTTATTCAAAGATCAAGGTCAGGCTAAGGTTAAGGTAATAATGTACCAACATTAAAATCTCCTATTCACTAATGACCGATGGACAGTCCAACCGGTCGGAATATGATACTTATATATGACGTATGTGCCGTGTGAATTACATAAATACTGAATATGCAACAGTACCTACATATACTAAACTTAATAATAATTGATATAGGTACGTATAAATAAAAACGTAATCACCTAACCTATTGAGACTTAGGTATTTAATGTGCCTATTGAACGGGCCGGGAACATGGGCCTTAGTACTCGGGCCCGGACACCAAATTCCTAAAGACCACCACTAACACCTAGAAATTAATATAACGACAGAATAGCTGGATATTAGTGTAGTAGTTCGAACAGCAGTGGTCGGAATAGCCGGGCGAAAAATGTTGAACTCCCTAATGCTTATTCTGCAAATGTGTACTATGTGTAAGTGTGAGTGCTTCACAAGCGGAAATCCATTACAATTTCAGGGTTGATTTTTAACAACAAAGTGAGCGGGAAGGCACACAAAACTAAATAACTGTATATTTTTTTAGGGGCTATTTGGGCATGTTGCCGAATAGTGGGAATGGCATCATGGTGGGAGAAAACAGACGTCGCGTATTACTATATCGATGCGCGGTTTACGTATGATCTCTCGTGGGCCGGAGTGTAGTTACTAAGTTATTTTCTACATTCAATTTTTTTTAACTAGTTAACTTAACTTTTAACTTTTTAACTAGGTACTGCCCACCTTTGATTTCTATCATGCATGTGTTGTTTGTGTGTGAGAGGGCGACTTCTGATATAGCCCACTGACCCATATTTTATAGGCATAGTTGGAAGGTGGTATGCTGAGAAGTCTTTGTTACAAGCGCTATAATAGATGAAACAATAATTATTTACAAATTATAATAACTTATTTTGCGTCGAGCCCAATCATTATCCCCCCGTTGAAAATGTATACATACAACAGTCTCATTTTTCATATATTGGCAATCGACAGAGCTTGAGGACCGGCCAACGCATTTCAGTATGATTAATTGGCTAAGAGTATAGTTGCGATTCTTATTCTTCCGTCATTACCCAGATAAGTATCAATTTTTTGGGATGGTAGTTTCCACTTAGCCGGTGGCATATGTTCATTCTCTTTACAATGACTATGTCATCAGGCGCATGTAGACTCCGTAAAAAGTGTCTATCCTTGGTTTAAACTTTGTCAGGAAAGAAAAACAGGTGAAATTGGTCACTATTGTAAATGCCACCAAATAAAATAAACAGGTAACTATTAAGTCTAATAAAGTAATTTAAATCCATTATTATAACTATTTATAGCTTTCTCAAACATGTGCTCACACCAGTTCTGAATACTTTCTCACCCAACATCCTTCTAACATTCGTTTTAGAGAAGAGCCCTTTAGCCCTATGAAATCAAATTAATATTATAGAAAAATATAATAGATTCAGTCTAAATCAACTTACTTTAGAATATGATATCAAATCAAACATTTCGGATATTTGGTGGGGATCAAAAACATGTTACACTATTTCATGAGAACTAGGTTTCCTATCTAAATATTGTAAAGGTTGGAGACTATTAATTAGAAATTATGTGTCCTAATAAGGAATTTGAAATAACTAAGGATAAAATAATTGGTTACAAAAAAACATATATAACACATACATACAAGATCACCCGGATGTTGTACTGCATATCTTGAATGTTTGGAACCGACCGATTATGAGTTTATTGAAGCTTCATATCATTGTTTTTCTACGTGGCTTAAGTTAACAAATTATTTGAAGACTATAAGTACGGATCGTTTTAAATTATAATTAATTTAATCTGTAATGCTATGTATGTATACAATTAATATTAAACTTTATTAAAAGTTATGAAAGTATTGTAAAAACACATATAATTAATATGAGGAATAAACAAATTGTAAAAATATAGAGATTAACATTGTAATAATAAATAATTCGAACCTATAATATAATAAGATGTTGGTTTTTAAACATTGACAATCGAATAGATGACATTTTTAAAATTAGATGGAATTTATCAACCAATTACTAATAACAGCTTCGTGTTTTTCTAACCATTTAATATTATTAGATACAACATCCAGCGTAGTTTTTCGTATATTATTTCCAACTGCAGCTTCTGGATATTGATCAAAAAATATGTTCATCTAAAGAAATTCAAATGCATATAAATATTTAGCATGTTAAATAAACAGAAACCTACTGATAGTTTAAATAAACATTCGAGAAATTGTCATAAACCGAAATTAAAGTAATTTGAGAGTAAATATTATTATTACTTCTCTGATACGTTCTTGTGTATTGAAATGAGAACAAACTGAAGGAATGAGAGTTCCAAGTTGCCCATCACAAAGAGAAAAACGATCAACCAAGTCCTGCCAATTCTCCCTAACATAACATATAAGTTTACATTAGATTACATTTTAAATTGTCCTGTATCTATTGTTTTTAAATTGAATTATAATCTATATTATATATAGATTATAGGTACCTCAAAAAGTCCCATACAAATTGAGTTCCAAAATGATGACGGTTTATCAGTATTATGATTCTTAAATATTCTCGGGAACTAATATGGCTATCATGTTCTGCAAGTTTCAATAGTCTAGGAAACATAAACATTTTAATTTTATTTATGAATAAAATTAAGTGCAACATTTACTTGGTTAATATTGATGTTTCTTTTGAGGCAGTTAATGCATTTATAAGGCTTCCTCTTTCCTTTGGTTCTTTTTCATTTAAGGATATGTTCCACAATTTGTTAAATTCAATATCATTGCCCTGAGACATTCCTAAATAACCAATATTATTATTAATATTTTAAATAAATAATTAATTAAGTACTAATCACTTTTAATAAGAAAATACGGTTGAAGTTCTACTAACCATAGTAATAAACTGTATCTCTAATATCAGGATGAGGTTTGATTTTGTCATTCACAAATCGTTTAAATAATTCATAAACTTTTTTTAGGTAGCTTGGTAAACCATATGCACATCCTAATTTGATAATAACTGCTCGAAGCTTACGTTGTATGAAGTTTTTATAACTTGAATCATTCCAAATATTTTCTTTTATGCTTCCCAATAAGTGTTGTACATATTTCTTTAAAAAACAATAAATATATTTATGTATTATGTTATGTCTGAATTCAAGAATCAGCCATTATGTCGTAATTACGTATTGAGATCAGTATTCTGAAGATCATAATATTGCTATTTGTGCAAAATCGGCAAAACGCAAGTAAAAACAAAAGAATTTAGGAACTACATGGATTTTTGAAATGTAATACTCAAGTAAATAATAATATCATCTAATTATAAAATAGTTATCAACGAAATATATAGTAATTTTATGCATTTTTAATCAGAAAATAATTTGTAAATGTTCATGTTTCTGTTAAATTTTGTAAAAATTTCGACATTGTGGGAGATTGAGAGAATTTACAAATTTAATACAATATAATATTTTCAAAAAATTTAGAACTGCAAAAATAAGTTTACTATATTAGCCGAGTTGCTGATCTCACGCGTTCGGCAATGACATTTTGATTTTATGAAATTGTGGTAAATAAAAATTCTGTGTATATAATGTTTTGTAACACCATTTCAATTATTAGATTTCCAATAATCTTACCTCAAGGTTTTTATGTGCCGGGCGTTGATACAAATGTTCACTTAATGTCTGTAAGTTTGTAGCAACTACATGCCAAGGAACATAATGATGTTCCAAAGATAAATATTTTGTCATGTTTAACGAAATGTCATAAGGTAAGTAATTAGAATTTGCCAAAATAAAGGAATCGTGTAAAAGATTTGAACGGTCAGCCACACTTAATACCTTTAAAATGAGAATTTTTAATTTAAGAATGTTATTGAAAAATATTAAGTACAAAAATACTTACATCAAAATTATTTTTTAATAAATTGTTTAGTAAACCCCAATCACTCTCTGAATAGTTTATGATGTAATATCCAACTTGTCTGTGATTTAGTTTTATCCATTCAGCATCAGGTATGTCAATCGTAACTTTTAAATAAATATTTCAAATAATATCAATTAAAATATTCAACAAACCATAGAACTTACTTGAAACCACGTCTTTGCTTAACAAAAACTTATGTATAGTATTATTGTTTGAAGTGGTATAAGTGATTGGTATTTCCCATTTGTAATTATATGGAGATGAGGCATTTGATAAATTAGTATTTGGGTTGGACAAAAATCTTTGCTGCTTTAGCGTAAGTTTAGTTCCATTCCGTATAGCCGATACTACTGGGAACCCTGCTTGCCGTGTCCATGTATCCATAATCTATTTTTATTTAAATAAATATATTTATAACAAGGTAAATGTTAAAAATTATGATATGTATATGAACTAATATTTCATTTTTTTCACCTTTTTAACATTGACTGTATTTTGAGTCACTGTCTGTAATTCTGTCCATAAATCATCAGTTTCAGCGTTGTTAAATGCAAAACGTTTTAAATATGCGGTCACTCCAATCCTGAATACTTCTTCACCCAACAGACTTTCTAACATTTGTAATACAGTAGAACCCTAAAATCAAATTAATATTGTATAGAAAAAATACAGTACATTGGAACTGTTTAATCTTACTTTAGAATATGATATACTATCAAACATGCCATTTATTTGATTTGGATGAGAAACGTTCTGCACCATAGCATGAGAACTAAGTTTGCCATCTACATATTGTACAGGTTGGAGATTATGAATTGGAAATGATGTGTCCTAAAAAACAATTAAAAACAACAAAGAATAATAAATGCTTACAAAAAACCAATATAACCAGTAAAAATAAAAATTATCCAGATATAGATAGATACTGTAGAAATTGAATTTATCTAGATATAGATATAGATACAATTATTTTTGTATAATTATTAATTAATAAATTTCCATTTATTGTTATTTTCATTGAATATTTCTAGCTACAAAACTGAATATAACAGATACATACAATATCCCAATCAGGGTGGACAACTTGAGTAGCTTTATATTTCATATAAGACGCAAACCCTTCGTTAAGCCATATGTCGTTCCACCATTTCATAGTTACTGAAAAAAATCAATAAGGTAGTTGTTTATTTAAGTTATATGTTATTGAAAAAAATATATATTATGTATAGGTACTTAACAAAAAGATTTGATGATAACTAATTATGAATTTTAAGTAATATATTTTTAAATTTAAAAATTCTTATTTTTATATACCAAGATTTCCAAACCACATATGAGCTAATTCATGAGTAACAATATGAGCGATTCTCTCTTGGTCATCAATAGAACTATTACTTTCATTATACAAAACTCTCGTTTCTTGAAATGTCACAAGACCCCAATTTTCCATTGCTCCATCATTAAAATCTTCGATTGGTATCAGATCTAAAAATTTCAATAATTTATAAGATTATTTATTTACTAAGATAAAACATGCTGTGTCTTTTTGATACAACTAAATAGGTACCTCTACTAATTAAAATCTTCATATTGAAGTGTAACTTAAATACGTACCTAATTTTGGTAATGGGTATTGAATGCCGAAATAATTTAAATAATAATTCATTGTCTTGAGACCTACATGTTGAGCATATTTCATATTTTCAGTTTGACCATTTTTGGCATAAACTGTTAAAGGAAATCCCTGATCTGCTTTTACAGGTTCAAGTGATTGATAATCGCATACGATAAAACAAACAAGATACGTAGACATTGGGACAGTGTTAGCAAAATGGACAGTTGTAAATCCATTTGCAGGGACATTGATCTCTTCAGACTGAAACAAAATTTATTTTTCAATAGCTCAAAGTTTAAACTCATTCATTTTTTTATGTTCACCTCTTGGTTCATGTTGGATAATGCTATGTAGTTATTACCAGATGGTCGAGTTAAACTAATTTTAAATTTTGATTTCAGCTGAGGCTCATCGAAACATGGGAATGCTAACCTCGCATATGTTGGTTCCAATTTTGAAGTGGCCATATAATGTTGTTCATTGCTTGTTGAATCTTCATAAACGCTTTGATAAAATCCTACTACTTTGTCTAATAAACTACCTTCAAATGATATTTGTAAATTGTATTCCCCAGCACTTAGTTCTTCATTAGGTACCACAACCCAACAATCAAGTGCTAGAAGGGGAAACGCTGTTACAGAACTGGAATTGAGTTTAGTTTCTTTGATATCCAATCCTTTTGAATGTAGCTTAATGTAACTTTGAGGAGTATCCAATATTATTGTTATATTGACAGAACCAGTAAATGAACCTTCTTGAAGATTTGGGTACAAATTAATGAAGTATTGCTGCGGGCGAACGAACGGTGATAAGCGATCTGTAGTTTTCCGCAGTTTAGCTACTATACTCTAAATAATAAATTAATTAATAAAAAATAGTTTTACTTTTTATTATGTTTCTTAAAAAAATTAGGAACTTGGTAAATAGCTATATTTTTTTTCGTCTTTCGCAGATTATAGAAGCTCAAGAGTATAAAATAGAATAAAAATTTATAATTTTATATTTTTATGTAAGTATTTATTTACAAATAATTAATGTTACCAAGTCAATCCTCCTGTGGTGTTTTTACGTATACCTGTTATAAATTATATTTTTATTTTGATCAATATTTAATAATACTAATTTATAGGTATAAAAACTAAAAAATAAATTGAAAATTTTGTCTAGTGTCGTACACTGAACACTGACAGTTTTAAATATCCTCTAGATATTTTCTATATCATATATAGATTATATGGAGTACATATAACAAATTACAATAGAGAGTAGTTATAATTTAAATATATCTAAATTTATAAAAATGGACATTGGTTTGTCAATCTGTTTTTAGCTGTACAACGTCCTAGAGTATTCAATGACTACTGAATCGTATTAAATACCCATTTAAATATATTCATTGAGACTTTGAGATTGTTAATAACGTATTTTGTCTACCACTCTTGGTAGCTGTAGCTGACAAAATAATTTAATTTTTTGCTCACGAAAAAAAGAATTTTTTTTTGTTGCTTATTTATTTTTTTGCCAATAACAACGGTTAACATCGTATGCATAACTATTATGATTAGTAGAATACTATTGGAATATTATTATACATTTATATAAGCACAAATATTGTTTTGGCACAGGATTATTGCTTGACAGCTAGTAAAATATTTTATAATTATTTTGATTAGCTTTTTCTTTTATTTTTTTTTTAGGTTTTTGTTGGTTAGGGGCTGAACACATGTGTGTTTTTTGGCAGAATTTTTGATTTGGGCACCCTTAGCCCGTAGGTATCTGCCATGTCCTGGTGGGGGATGGCGGCACTTGTTCTCCGGACACCGTGACTTGCCCGAAGAAAAATGCCACCCATGGCCGAGGTATCGAACCAGCGTTAGCTGCGTCGCAGCCGACGCCTTAGTCCGCTAGGCCACTCCGTCCCCCAGCTTTTTCTTTAGTCACTCATTTTTTTTGGTAATTCTAGTAAAATGAACAAGTTTTGATAATAACTACCACTTTCGTAATATCACGAATAATAATCACCGTTTGTTTTCACATTTACACAATTTATAATTAATTTTTATCGTATATTTTTCTTGACACTCACTGAATTTATCATTAAAAAACTTGCTGATGTAGTTTCTGTAAGCTTTTCGTCTTCTGGAATCCATTCCAATTCCTTCATATGATTGTTTATAACTGTTAAGAGTGTTACGGATGCGAAAGTCGCAAATACAAGTACAAACACCCATTTTATTACAGGCGCCATATTTGATCCGATAAAATATAATTGTTCGTCAAGATGTCGAATATAATATATGACGTGAACAGTGAAAATACCTGTGAACATGCATTTTAAAGTCCATCAAATTTTAAACCATACAAAATTGTTTACTTTTTTATTATATCTGCTATAATCTATATGTATAAATATGAATGTTTGTCTGTTTGTCCTTTATACATTCCTAAACCATTCATCCGATTTCGATGAAATTTGGTACAACATAATTTACACTTAAAAGACATTGCTTTCACAGCGTGTTACACCCAAAAGGAGTTAAACAATCACATTTTTTTTTTTTTGAAACTCCAGTCATTCAGCTATTAAATGTCACAAAAATATGTTGACTATATATAATATAAGTAATATGTGAATAGATTGGTTTTTTGGTTTACAATTTAAATTTCTGTATGGTGGCATATTATATTTTTTTGTTTATAGGTTATTCTCCTATTAAATATACCTATGTCTATAGAATAAAGTGAAAGATAGTGAACTATCATATAGTGCTATGGTCGACTGAGCAAGGGAAATTTACAATGTTTTACACACAACAATTTTTATAATTATTTTAATGCATATAATAATATGATACATTGATATAATATACAGAGTGTAACAGATAGAACTGAATTTTGGAATAACTTTTGTTCTAATCAATATTTAAAATTTTTTTTTGTGTATAATTTATAGTTACTTGCGCTACACATATTTTATACAAAAAATTATTTTTATTTTTAAACACTGAAAAAAAAAATTTTAATTTGGTTAAATTTTTTTTGGATATATATAAAATATACAATTTGTGAATCTGATTATAAAAATAATTTTGATAGGTAGTAAAAACATTTATCCAAGTCAAGTAGATTATTTTTTAGAATTTCTTAAAAATTTCAATATTTTTTCGATTTAATGAATTTAAAACGTAATAACTTATAAATAAATAAATATCAAAATATTTTTTTTTTTTTTTGGGGGGGGGGGAATTTGCTGACATGAGTATATTTTTTATATTATTTACTAATCATATAATTTTAACAATTTTTGTCATAAGTTTAAGTAGCATCATTTATTAATTTTTTTTTTCGTCAAGTCTTTCTGTTACACCTTGTATATAGTTATAGTTGTATACGATGAGCCAACTATAAAAAAATACACATTTCACCTTTTAGGTATTATATACATCTATAATCTATATTATGTTAAATCAATAATTTGTCAATTTCAGTTGACAGTTCCCATAGTGAATATTTTTATTGTTAGTGTTTTTAGCACTGCAGTATTAGATAAATACTTACGATTTTTGTCCAATTTACTTTCAATTTTTTATTTTTACATATTAACCATAGTTTGATAGGTTAGGTTAGGTTAGGTTAGGTTATGAGATATAATATAATAATACGACTAAAAATCAATGGCTATTAGAGCCAATATGACAAATACAATAATATGAGGCGATTTGTGCACTTATTAATGGAAAAAATGACACTTTTTGACTATTTGATTAATTATCATACAATATTTAAAATTATATTTTTTGCACACGCACGTGACGACGTACAGAACAGAAACGGCGGTCGTGTTATTATATATTCGCACAGCAGGCGCGGTGGTGTGCGATAACGTATGTTATCTAAATGATTTTGTTTGATTCATAAAGCACATTCAACACAATTTACAAAAACAAAACAATAATTAACAACGGTGATTACGTGTGTGAAGTCAGCTATTCCTATCATGTGTTGTGTGCACGTGAGAGGTCGTCAACAGATATAGCCTACTGACCCATATCTTATAGACAGTCTTGTTAAGAATACTTTTCAAATGTATTCAGAATACGTATTTAAATATTTGGTGTAATTTGAATTCAAATACTTTCTTTCAAAATTATTTAAATATAAAAAGAAATACCTTTTAAAAGTATTCAAAATACTTTCACAAATACATTTAAAACCCATTAAAAAAAAAATTTATCTTTTGTTTTATCTAAATAAAAAAGTATTTATCTTTATCTTTATCTAGATAAATATGAGTTAAGGTTTCTTTTATATCTATCTAGAATCTAGAAATCATTTGAATTGCATTATCTTTATCTTTACCTAGATAAAAAAAATACTTATCTAATCCGAACACTGGTCATCACCCTGGATGAGTTTCGAATGTTTCGATTACGCCGGCTAGTTTCCATTTAGCTGGTGGCATATTTTCTTCCTTTACAATGACAATGTAGTTTGTTACTACCTGTCATAGGTATTACTAAAACAGGTAAGGTCTATACTTAATACCGAGATTAATATTAAACTATTACCTACTGGCCATTACTCACCCGCCGTTTCATAAATAACTGGAATGGATGTTTTCTTTTTAATATCTTTGTATACGATACATAAACGATTCTGAGCGGTGGCGGTCTATACACGTAAATATTTGATTATAATATTATACTTATATTGCTATCAGAAATAATTAGTATAAATTACTGATATTACTGACTTAAATAATAAATTGAATTATTATATGCTAGATGCTGAGCGAAGCGATTATTGTACTAAATAGTGTGTTTTTGGAGATGCTGTACATAAATTGCCTATCTGATACGCCGTGTTAACATTATTTTATACATTCATTTTTATTTATATAGATATTTTAATTGAACAGCTTAAAGAAATTACAAATAGAAACATTTTAAGGCACTAGAAAAACCTTTTTTTTTGTGACGACAATTTCAACGGTTTAGGTTGCTTAAAAAATGCATTATTGAGACATAGCACATACAAATATCGAACTGATCTCGAGATAAAAAGATCCAACTCGGATAAGTATTGATTTTCATTTATAAAATAATAATTTAATATTAAATATGTAATATTCAAATTAATCTTATTTCACTTTTAAATTCTAATTCGAAATACATTAAAAATTTGAAAAATTTAAAATGAATAATAATACTATAAGCAATAATGATTCCTTATCTCATCTAATATTTTAATATGTGATAACCTAAAAATTTTACATAACATATTATTTAAGCTTAGAGAAAGTAAGTAGAACCCTGAATATCTCATTTAGAATGCCATGTGTACTACACTTTAAAATATTTTTAATTTTGTAAATCAATTAGTCAACCTAAAAATATATTTTTAATATAATATTATAATCATTGAAAAAAAAAATGTTGTATCAAATATGGTGGAACGTGCTCAGTGAGTGGTTTACTTAACTATGATAACACTATAATATAACAGTCATATGAAATTATAATTGATAATAGTGGAATTTAAATATCATTAATTTATTAACAATACCAATTATTATTTTTATTGCCAAAAATAAAAAAAAAACTCATGATTTTTTATCTAATTGTAAATGTCATTCATTATATTGTTATTATTTTATATAATATTATAATTATTATAAAGTAGAAAAAGTAATATCTGAATATCTGATTTAGGAGGCCACATATTGTTTTGTACGTTAAAATATTTTAGATTCTGAGTGGAGTGATAAATATATTCATATACCAATTATATGTGTTTTTTTATTTCTCAAATAAAATAACTTGTTCTAATCATTCATTTAAAATTGTTTTTATATAAAATAATGACTTGAAATATCATATTTAGGATTTTTTCATGAGGGGGAAGGAGAAGTATTTCTCTATAATCCAATTTATGGTTGCTACAGTATTATACTTCGTAAAACAGAAATTTCACTGTATATTATTAATATATTTCAATTTTATTGTAAAAACATGAATAATTAATAAGTGGAATAAATAACTAGTAACGACATATAAAAATTAAAATTAACATTGTAATATAAAAAAATCCAGCCCTGTAAATTAAACTATTGATCAAGTATTGACAGTCAAATTGATGGATTTTTAAAATTAGATGACATTATTAATAAACCAATTACTAATAACGGCTTCGTGTTTCTCTAACCATTTAATGTTATTAGATACATCTTCTAGTAAAGTTTTTCGTTCGTCATCTCCGTCTACAGCTACTGGATGTTTATCAAAAAATATATTCATCTAAACAAATTAAAATGTGTATAAATATTAAGAATGTTAAAAAATGGAACCTACTGATAGATTAAATAAAAATACAACATTCGAGAAGTTGTTATCAACCAAAATTTCTTTAAATAATTAATTACTGATTTAAATAAATAATATTTACTTCTCCAATACGTTCTTGTGTATTGAAACGAGAACAAACTGAATCAATGAGTGCTGTAAGTCTCCAATTTTCACGAGAATAACGATCAACCAAGTGCTGCCAATTGTCTCTAACATAACATAAGTTAAATTAGAAAATATTTTAAATTGTACTGTACCTATGGTTTTAAAATGTAATTAAAATATATATATTTAAGTACCTTAAAAAGTCCCAAACAAATTGAGTTCCAAAAGGATTATGGCTTATCTGTGATATGATTTTAAAATAATCTTTGGAACTAACATGACTCTCATTTTTTGCATTTTGCAATAGTCTAGAAAACCATAAAATATATTTAATTCTATATGAATAAATTTAAGTGCACAATTTACTTAGGTAATATTGATATTTCTTTTGAGGCTGTCAATGCATCCCTAAGTTTCTCTTTTTCCTCAGGGTCTTGTTCATTTAAGAATATGTCCCACAATATATTCCATTCACTATCATTTCCCATAGACATTCCTAAATATACAAAATACTTATTAATATCTTAAATAAATAATGAATAAAGTACCGACATATTTAATAGATTTAAAATTCTACTCACCATAGTAATAAACTGTGTACCTAATATCTTGATGTGGTTGTATTTTGTCATCCAAAAATCGTTTGAATAATTCATATGCTTTTGTGAGACATCTTGGTAAACCATACGAACATCCTAATTTGAAAGTGACTGCTCGAAGCTTACGTTGTAATAAGTTTCGGTCACTTGAATCGTTCCATAAATCTTCTGTTATATTCTCCAATAAATGTTGTATATATCTCTTTAAAAAAACAATAAATATATTTTTTTATATTACATTCAAATTCATAAATCTGCCATGTATTTGCCAAAGCAGAGTATTTCGAAAAAATGTCTAAATATTTTTTCATTTTATTAATTTAAATGTATAAAAAGTAATGAATATGGAATACAATTTTTTTTTATTAATCCACTATTATATGGATACAAAACTGTAACGTTATGCCGTTTTTCAATTATGTTTTTTCAAACACATTAATTTGACAAAAAAATGTCTACCTTATTTATGGCATGAGCCTATGTTGTTAAAAATCAAAAGAATTACGTTACTTGTTGCGTTAAATATTTAATGATATTCGCGTTACCCAACATAATTTTTATCAAGTTACTTTACTTCTTCATTCAAAATGCGAAGAGTTAAAAATAACTTTTTTTTTTTAAATTACCACAAAATCATTCCATAACGAATAATAAATAGTAGTTACCTACATTATTGTTAATGACCTAATGTTATACAAGAACAAAGTTTATAAGTATTAATTCATAGGATAATAATAATATTAATAATATTGTTGATTATTATTTATTATATAAGACTTTCAATACCTACATTTTATTGATTTTTACTTTTTCTCAAATATCCTAGCCCCTAGTTTTGGTCATATATTCTACATTCAAAACTTATTTTAATAACTTGGGAAATAAAACTTTGCACCATTGAACTTACTTTCAAAAATTAATTTCGTTACAATTTTGTTAACTTAAATGAAATATGATAAAAATACTACACCGTTACTGCAAAAGTAATTTCGTTAGAGTAATTTGTGATTTGCGTTACGTTACTAATCAACATTTTCAAAATAACCATTGACCTACATCACTGTACCACACCTTCAATGGCATACCCGAATAATTGGTGATCTCACGTCATGAAATCATGATTTTATTAATTTTGCATAGAAAAAAAATCCTGTGTAAACAATGTTTTGTAACACCATTGTAATTATTAGTTTTTAAATAATCTTACTTCAAGGTTTTTATGTGCCGGGCGTTGATATAAATGTTCACTTAATGTCTGTAAGTTTGTAGCGGCTACATCCCACGGAATATAATGATGTTCCTTGGATAAATATTTTGTAGTGTTTAACGCAATGTCATATGGTAAGTAGTTAGCTTTTGCCAAACTAAAGGCATCATGAATAAGATTTGAACGGTCAGCCGCACTTAATGCCTTTAAATTGTATATTTTTTGTTTAATAATGAGATTGAAAAATATTATCCAAATACTTACATCAACATTTTTTTCTAATAAATTGTTAAGTAAACACCAATCTCTCTCAGAATAGTTTATGGTGTAATATCCAACTTGTCTGTGATTTAGTTTTATCCATTCAGAATCAGGTATATCAATAATAACTTTTAAATAAATATTTTAATTAATACTAATTGAGATATTCAACGGACCATAATACTTACACGAATCCTCGTCTTTGGATAACCAAATCTCATTTACAGTATTATTGGTTGAAGTGGTATAAGTGATTGGTATTTCCCATTTGTAATTAAATGGAGATGAGTCATTTGACGAATTAGTGTTGAATTCGGACAAAAATCTTTGCTGCTTTAAAGTAAGTTTAGTTCCATTCCGTATTGCCGATACTACTGGGAACCCTGCTTGACGTGTCCACGTGTCCATAACCTATTTTTATTTAAATAAATATATTTATAACAAGGCAAATGTTAAATATTATAATATATTATATACGAACTAATAAGTCATTTTTTCACCTTTTTAACATTGACTGTATTTTGAACCACCGTTTGTAATTCTGTCCATAAATCATCAGTTTCAGCATTGTTAAATGCAAAACGTTTTAAATATGCGCTCACACCAATTCTGAAGACTTCTTTACCCAATATTCCTTCTAGCATTCGTAATACAGAACAACCCTATGAAATCAAATTAATATTATAGAAAGATATAGGTAATAGATTGGGACCAAATAAACTTACCTTAGAATATGATATGCGATTAAACATAGTGGATATTCCTTTTAGCTTATCCGGCACTATAGCTTGAGAACTAAGTTTACTATCTTCATCTTGTACAGAATATAGTCTTTCAATTAGAAACGATGTGTCCTAATAAATGATTAAAAATAACAAAGAATAATTACTTACAAAAAAAACAAATATAACAGATACATACAACATCCCAATCAGGGTGGACAACTTGGGTCGCTTTATATTTCATGAAAGTGGCAAACCCTTCGTTAAGCCATAAGTCGTTCCACCATTTCATAGTAACTGAACAAATTCAATAATAAGGTGTATAATTATAGTATATTTTAGTTATATAATATCGATTGATAAAAATACAATATAATATTGGAACTTAACAAATTAAAACAAATTATGAACTGAAAGTTGTTTATTTTTTATTTTTTAAATTTTAAATATTTATATTTACATACCAAGATTTCCAAACCACATATGAGCCAATTCATGAGAAATAATTAAAGCGATTGCCTCTTGGTCATCAATAGAACTAATACTTTCATTATACAAAAGTCTCGTTTCACGAAATGTCACAAGACCCCAATTTTCCATTGCTCCAGAAATAAAATCTGGGATTGGTATTAGATCTAAGCAATGAATGAAGTATTAAATTGTTTATTTACAAAGATAAAACGTGCTTATTTGATACAGACAATTCAATAGGTACTTTTATCAGGACCTTTCACCCGAATTAACCGGAATTCCTTACATCCCTAAAAACCCTTAAAAATCAAACACCCGAAATCCATATAACCCGAATGGTTCTGTTTTTAAAACACCTGAATAATTTGTGTGGAGTGTTGGATTCTGTAGTTTGTTGTTTAATAGTAATAATAAATTAACTGGTACAATTTTACAATAAATGTTATGAAAATTCAATAATTATTTTCTTGAAAATAAAATCCAATAAAATCATTAATTGATTCTGATTTCTGATTAAACTAAATCGCCTAAGAATACTAAATTATATCTTATACCTTATATATAAATTACTTAATAAATAAATCCAAATATAGCCAGTAGCATTATACAATATAGTCAAGGTCTCAACAAAACTGAACATCTGTTTTTAAAAGTATTATCGCATTACTAGATTGATCAGTGTGATGGAATAAAAATTAGATGTTATGGCTAAAATAACTGTTTAATATAACTATAATAAATTATAGTCGTCAGGAACGTTTTTTCCCGGGTAGCCCCGCTCATATCATAAAAAACTTCGTTTCAAAAATTTAAAAATTGAATTAATACCTAGGGTGTGGCAAGAGCAAAAAGTGAGCTATTTCAGTGGTCAACGTGTGCGGCGATAAAGAATAAAGATAGTATTTATAAAAAAGTACGAGTATCTTGCATTTAATATGATTTATGATATTAATTATTATTAATTTTCATTTTTTATATGTATTATAATTTATCGATTTTAATATCGATTCGGGTAAAAAGTGTTCGGGAAAAAAGGTTTAGGGCATGTGGACTTTCAGAAAAAATGTATTCAGGAATTTCGATGGGAAAAGCGCGTTTGGGAAAAAAGGTTTGGGGTTTCCTGATTTTCGAGAAAAATACCATTCGAGAAAAAGTTCTTTCGGGAAAAATACCGGTAACCCTAATAAGTAATAGAACCTATAATTAATAGTTAATACCTTTACAGTATTATTTGCCAACCAATTTCCCAAGTGGTATTATTATAATTTAGTAACGAATATCGTAACTCTAGCTATTTTTACCATTTTTCAAAAAATTACAAAATCATAAACTATATTTTATTTTATTTCTCAGCTACGGCTCCTATGGTCTATTTTAAACATTTTAGTTAACTTATACCCTCGAATTGGCCTATATAAGTATATAATTAATTTCCCATTGTCTTAGTTCTTGTTAAGGAATTTATATATAATGTAAATAGCAAAATAAATAATTTTTTTGGCTTGATAATTTTTTTTTTTTTGGAGGGGGGGCTCAGCTTTCAACAATTGTGTTTTTTCAAGATAACTGAACATCCGTATTAACCAGTATTAATCAGAATAAGAACGGTTATGAAAACCCGAACGTTTGCTTAAGTTTTTTATTCCTGTGTTTCAACACCCGAATTTATCCAGCACCCGAAACCCAAAAAATGATTCGAGTGCTAAGCCCTGACTTTAATACACATTAATTGTAGTCATTATATGATAAATTTGATTTGAATACATACCTAATTTTGGTAATTGGTATTGAATGCCAAAATAATTTACGTAATAATTAATTGCCTTGATTCCTACTTGTTGAGCATATTTTATATTTTCGGTTTGACCACTTTTGGCATAAACTGTTAACGGAAATCCTTGATCTGCTTTTACAGGTTCAAGTGATTGATAATCACACACAATAAAACAAGCCAGATAAGTAGACATTGGGACAGTGTTAGCAAAATGGACGGTTGTCAGTCCATTTGTAGGGACATTGATTTCTTCAGACTAAAAAAAAATGTATTATTCAGTATTGAAAAATTTTAATTAAATAACATTTTTATATTCACCTCTTGGTTCATATTAGATAATGCTATATAGTTATTACCAGATGGTCGAGTTAAACTTATTTTAAATTTTGATTTCAGCTGAGGCTCATCAAAACATGGAAACGCTAACCGAGCATAAGTTGGTTCAAACTTTGAACTAGCAATATAATGTTGTTCGTGGCTGTTTAAATCATTATAACTGCTTCGATAAAAACCAAATGGTTTGTCTAATAAGCTACCTTCAAATGAGATTTGTAATTTGTATTCCCCAGCACTTAGTTCTTCATTAGGCACAACTACGAAAAAATCATTTTCTGGATATAAAAACGCTGTTCCAACACTAGAATTGAGTTTTGTTTCTGTGATCTTCAATTCTTTTGAATGTAGCTTAATGTAACTTTGAGCAGTGTCCAATATTATTGTAATGTTAACTGAACCAACAAATGAACCTTCTTGAAGATTTGGGTACAAATTAATGAAGTACTGTTTTGGGCGAACGTACGGGGATAATCGAGCTGTAGATGTCCATGGTTTAGCTGCCATTATACTCTAAACAATAAATTAACTAAATGCTTGAATACAAAAATAAGTTTACAATTTTATTAGTTTACAATATATTATATTACCTATTAAACAATAAAAATATATAATTATATGGGTTTGTTTATTTTTTTTTTAATTATTTGAATTTTTTTTTGTTTGTTTATTGGAATGCCAAACCTCTTATGTATAACTTTACTATTATGATAAGTAGAATAATATTGGATATTATTATACATTTTTTTAAAAATCCATTTATATAAATTAACAAATCTTTGGCACAGGCTGCCACGCCTTGCCACAGGTAGTAAATTATTTTAATTTTCTTTTTCTTTAGTGACTTTTTTTGGATCTTAATAAACTTAACAAATGTTGATAATAACTACCACTTCCGTGATATCTTGCATAATAATCACCGATAGTGTTCACCTCTTCACAGTCCATAATTCGTATTTTCATATATTTTTCCAAACACTCACCGAATTGGTAATTTCTGAATGGTTTTCGTGTTCTGTAAGCGTATCCAATCCGGCTGTGACGGCCGCCAAAAAAAGTACAATCACACATTTTATTACTGGCGTCATATTTGATCCGATATAATTATCTATATTATTGTTCTTCGTAATTAAGCATATAATATTATGTATATATTATATAATATAATATATGACGTGAACAGTGGACATACCTGTGAACATGCATTTTAAAGTCAATGAAATCTTAAAAGATATGAAATTTCTTAAGTTTTAATTATTATTTCTGCAAATAAGTATTGTAATATGATTAGATTGCCTTACAATTAAAATATCTGTGTGGTGGCATACTCCACACTTGTTTGTTTATATGTTATTTTGCTTTTACACCGAACTTTATGTCTACTCTTATCATATATTCCTATAGTATATTGAACAAGGTCACTCATAAAACTATATATTATATTAATATATTTAATATTTATGCAATTAATAAGAATATCTATGATCCATTGAAATATAGGATGATTTTTTAAGCATGTTGACCCTATTTTTATGCTTAAATTATACATACATTAAAATTCTGATTTTTAGAATTTTTAAATACCCTTGTAGATCATATTTTCGTACGCTTAAGGATTTTTTGTACTGCTTAAGGATGATCCTGGGACAATACAAACTTCTGTTTTTAAAATAAGAACCCTGAGTTATATAACTTTGTGTAATAATGATAATGATGATGAGAATAGGTATGTGTATCAATCAAATTATAAAAAGTCGATATCATAGGCGTGACTAGATTTCATCGGCAGGGGTAACCTAGCTAATAATCGGCGCTACCTTATTAGTGAACTGAAAAAAGCCCTATACACCCAAAACCGTATTTTTTATACCCCCCTCCACAATGAAATATTTATATAATTTAAAAAAAATCTAAATTATCTATTTACAATAATAATCTACAGTAACTTTGGAAATATTATTCATCTACAGCCTTGGATTACACCACCTAACTACAAATCTAAAATAATACAACAACAATATCAATAATACCTAGATGCATACTGTACCGTCGTCGTCTATCTCAACTCTCAAGCCTTTATAGTAGGTTTTTCCGATTTCGGAAGTCAGGAAATCAATCTTTGTAAGTAAATGGTAATTATAACGAAACCCATAAAAAAATCAAGTTTAAAAAAAAAAGGAAAGGTTGTAACCCTTCTGACTCAAAATTCGGTTGACCGGCACCTTTAAAAAATTGCAGGGGCAATCTAGGCACCCTAGGCTGCCACAGTAAACACGCCTATGGTCGATATGTAAATATATAAATAATAAAAGAAACATTGGTGTAATGGTGTTAGTATTAGTAATATAAATTAATCAATACTATTATTGTATATCTAGAAAATTAAGTGAACTTTTTAACTGTATAAGAATTTTATATACTATTACTATAATTAATATTTTATTTATCTATATGAACTCCGTATACCAGATACGAGCTTAGCTCAGTTTGTCTACGTATCAGCTCCAATATTATTATTGTTATTATTGTATTAAAATTGAATTACGCTGAAATAAATAAATAAAAAATAAAAATGCCTATGATAGTGGCCAGTGCGTTAAGTAGATTTAAGAGCTTAGATGATTTGAAAATGTTAGCAATTACTATTGATCTATCGGTATAAATAATTTGTAAAAATTATTCAAGTATATTGAATACTGAGTTTATTAAATAGAATAGTTCAAGTAATTTAAATTAATTTCTAATCAATTTTTTATTTAATTTTAATCAAAGATCAAAGTCAAGGCCTGCAAGGTATTTATAATGATGTATATTGAAATTGACTACTCACTAATGACCGATGGACACTCACCTGCCGGCCATCAAATGATAGGTACTTTATAGTTTATATATTACGTATGTGCTGTGTATAGCGTGCATAATTATGCAAAAGCCGTACCTATACCATAAACTTAATGATTAACAGGTACCTATCTAATAAAAACGTAATAACCTATATTGACTATTAGTAGTCCTTAGTAGTCCTTAGTACCTAGGCTTATATCTATGGCTATTGAAGGGACCGGAAGCATAAGCATTAGTACGTGGGCCCGGATAGCAAAAGCCTGAGGAGCATCACTAACTCAATATAACTTAATATGACCAGTGACCACAAAATAGCTGTGTGTATAGTGGTGTAGTATATTGTACTAGTTCGAACAGCAGTGGTCGGCATAGCTGGGCTCGGGCAAATGTTTTCGAAGTCCCAGATGCATCTTGTGAAAAATGTGTATTTTGTTTAGTTGTGGGTGTAAACTATGAATAAAATGGTAATAAAACGAATTTAAGTAGCACATTATTTAGAATATACAGAAATTCAAAGCAATATTCAATGGAATAGTAATGATAATATATATACAGCCCAACAGAATAAAAAAGCAGCTATTTGAGCTTTATACAAATATCATAATATAAAAATTAAATGCGGCCCTTCTGACTCGACCATATACCAAATAAATAACAATAAAAATCTTACAATTTGTGGATCGCAGACTAGCCATCTGGTGTTATCCTATAGTAGAATAATAATAAAAATAATTATAGAAAAATACAGTGTTGTAAGTGATGATTCAAGCACACTGTATATAAAATGGTTGTGAATCGCACGCGAGTTATAATAATACGACAACTAATTATCGCTGGCTAATTATAGAGCCATATGACAAATCCAGTGAAATACAATAATATATTAAGCGACTCGCTCACTTATTAATGAAAAAAACGACACATTTTTTAATATTTGACTATAATTAAACAACTTAATGAGATATTTTTTCACACGCCGATGCTCACGTGACGACGTACGGTATCGGACAAAATACGATGTCCGTATATATGTATTCACACAGCAGGCGCGGCGATAACGTATGTAATCTAATTAATATTGTGTAACTCACAATATACAAAAATAAAACAATAATTAATAAAGGTGATTACGTGTGCGAGGCCAGCTATACCTACCCATAGATATATACAACAACTATAGTTAGCGGTCATTATACTACAGTTTTGACCTATATTGAAATCGGCTGCCATTTACAAAGCAGGCAATGTTTACATTTATTTTACATTTATTTACATACATATATACTATGATAATATTATTTTGTAAACATTGCCTGCTTTGTAAATGGCGGCCGACTTCGATGACAAGAAGGAGACGGCTATCTAGTTTTTGTATATATCTATGACTATACCTATCATGTAGAAAAAATAATGTAGCGAACGAGGTAGCAGCAAGAATTCAAGGTGGGAATAGATGCTATTATGGACTGACTAAGGTACTAAGCTCACGAACAGTATCTCGAAGAATGAATGGACGATTATATACGTCCTTAATACGACCGGTTGTATTGTATGGATCGGAAACATGGCCAATTAGAAAAATGGATGAGCATAGATTCATGGTCTTTGAAAGAAAAGTGTTGAGGAAAATATATGGCCCGGTCAAAGACGAAATAACTGGGGAGTGGAGACGAAGAAAGAACATAGAGCTGGAAATACTGTATGGTAGTGCGGACATATTGGAGGTCATCAGAAGCAGAAGACTACGGTGGGCTGGCCACGCTTGGAGGAGCCAAAATCTACTTTTACATGCAGTGATTGAATAAAACCCTGTAGGTAAAAGGCCTTTGGGAAGACCAAGAATGCGATGGAAAGATGTTGTAAAGAAGGATGTTGAGCAGTTGGGAGGTTGTTCCAATTGGAGAAATCTAGCATTGGGTAGAGAAGGATGGAAGCTTGGTTGTGAGACGGGATGGTCTTAAAGGCCCAATAAACCCAAAAAAAAAAAAAAAATATCTATCATGTGTGAGCGTGATAGGCCGAAAACAGATATAGCCCACTGACCCATATTCATAGGCATGGTTAGCGAGTGTAGGGGTGGACGGGTGGCAGTCATCGTTACATTTGGCCACAACAAATGGAACAATAATTAATTACAATAACGCATTTTGCGTCGATCCCGATCATTCTAGATATTCCCGATATTCTATACTCTGGTCCAAATAAGAGCGCACCTCTTTGGAGTCTTTTACGTCTAACCTCGTACTACGTTATAACTCACTCACTCACTCCGTATAAACAAGGTGACACGCTGCCGCCGGAACAGACAGTGAAAGAAAAGTCTACCATGCGCGAGTTTCGACATGTCCGCCGCCCGGTGCTCTCTTATTTGGACCAGAGTATAGTTATAACTTTTTTTTCAACTAGGAACTTTCGAACATTATATACACTCTGTAACATATAAGTGATATAACTATACGACTGTATGTTATACTTTTATAACATAGTACAGAGTGTATAATTTAATGTTTGAACTCCTCTAGTGGGAAAAAAAATAGTTAGGTTAGGTTATACATACCACAATAATATGACCTATATGTCGAGAACAACACCACAAGCGGCGGACGGACCACTTTGTCAGCTTCCACATCGAACGGAGCTTGGGTTTAGCCACTGCATCGGTCTCTGGTCCGTTCCATCGGTAATCGGCTAACCTGCGGTAGATCTCGGACCTCAAGTGTTTTGTACGTAAATGTATAATTTAAATCTAAAGTATGAAAGTTACACCAATTTGGTCATTTTTACTTAATTCAACCTACGGTGGATTATACAATCAATTAATACATATCCTAATATAACTTAACCGTACTAAAATCCGATGAATAAAAAAAAACAGAACATTCGTATGTATAGATAAAGAAAAAAAAGGAAAAATAAGAAAGGAAACAATGTAAAAACCACACAAAAAATTGGTCCACTGACCACCAAAACCTAGGTTCAAAGTTGAGACATTCTGTACTAAAATGCATACAATGCGCCAACAGGCTTGTCGCATAAATAATAATAACTATTATTAAGACCAATAGCAACCATTTAAAAATAAAAATGTCCATCGTAAATCTCAAAATCTCTGTTTGAGCAACTCCCGCGGTTGAACCTCTAATTTACCCTTTTTGAATCCTATCTTCTTACAAGAGGTATACCTAATTTATCTCTGTACCAAATTTCATCGCAATAGGTCCAGCCGTTTAGGAATGCATAAAGGACAGAGAGATAGACAGTCAGACAGATACAATTTTAAATTAATAACTAAAATATTATACTCACCAGAAGCAGTTGAATAATAGTTATGTACATTTTCAAATGTACTTTTTGGTCCAGAAAATTGAGTTTGATAATCTATTCAAGTATTTAACAGTGTGTTTTCATCAATTACCTTAACAATTAAATATTATTAACCATTCAATAATAATAAACTATTTTGTTGGTTTTAATTACATTTGTGAAATATATTTATGTATTAAAATATACTTACTTTGAGGTTCAGAACTTGGTTTATTGTGATTGTGATGTGACACTAAGTTCAGGAGGTTTTTGGCTCTAGTCGTCATTTTATTTAAAACACAAGAAAAACAAAACATAAGGTAAAAAACAGTAAAACTTTGGTAGAATAATAGGTACAAATTAAAAAGGTGGGTAAGTGGATGTCGCTCTGCTGTACAGTAGGTTACAAGTGGGTCACTGTATAATGGATGCTATTAAATTTGAATTCAATGATACAATATCATTGTATAAGAAAAAAGATTCTGAGCGAAGACGGTATGTCAGTCTAGGTTTAATACAAATTATATACATATCTATGGTATTAAAAAAAAATTGACCTATAATAAATTCCAAATTAATCATATCACATTATCACAATATCCATTAGGTACTTATAACACGTTATACATCAACATCAACAACAAACCCTGATACTATCATATATATATAATAGTACACTTTAGAAGTTTCAAGTAGGTACCCACGAATAATATTATATAATCACAACAAAATAACTAGGTTTTTTAATGTGTAATTTCGTCCAAATTTGAACATAAAATGACTATAAAAGTAAACTGTGATTGTATATTTTTTAGATTTTTTGGTAAGAGAATTAACTACTTACGTGGAATCTTGTTTTAAATTTTCAATCCTTAGCTATAAAAACTGAACATTTTATAATTTATTAATTACGATGATTAATAATTTTCGAGATTTTGAAAAATTCTATCAAAATTCGATGTTAAAATGCTTATAAAAAAAAATTGTGCCTATGTATTTTTAATATTTTTTAACTGATATTGTAACAATATATCAGGAGCCTTGTATTAAATTTTTACACTTTTTGGCCCAACAGATAAAACTTAATTGATATTTATAGAAAAAAAAAACTAAAAAAATTGAAAACTGAAAATGTCCGTAAACGGCTCAAAAAGTGTCAAAATATTTTCAAAATTGTAGGGTGTATAGGAAATGCTAATATAAACATTCAGTGAAATTTTCATGTATCTACAGTAATTCGTTTTTTAATTACAACAAAAAAAGGAAATTGCCACATGAGAAATCGAGTGAATATCCAATGTTGTAAAAATTTGAATTTCAAACGCTCATAAAAATTTAATTTGACTTTCCGGTAGAAATTTTTTTATTGATAAAGGTAGACAATCTTATGAGTAATCTTGTATTAGATTTTCAAATCTTAGATTTAAAAAGAAAAATTTTTACGAATTCTTAACTCAAAATAATTTGCTAATTTTCGTGATTTTTCCATATTTTGTCAATTTTTGAACTTTAAATGCTTATAAAAAAAATTGTGACTAAGGATTTTTAATATTTTTCATCTGCCTTTGAAACAACATATTAGGAGCCTTCTATTAAATTTTCAAGCTTTCGCAACCAACAAATAAAATTTTATTGAAAAAAAATCAATACATTCATCGTTTCACTCAGAATCTAAAATTGTTTACTAACAGTCATATCACATTTTTAATTTTTATATGATACGTATTAAAATGTTTAGAATCTAGATAAATTGATACCACATTTTATTTACCAACGGTTAAAAAAGTTTCATTTTCAATATTTTTAATCAAATATAAGAACCTAACTATAAAGTTACTATAATAGTAGGGAGGTATATAATAATAATAATAATAATAATAGTAATAATATTGTGTTTTTACCAAGTACGATTACAGGGTTGGACTAGGTCACTGGGACACCGGGATTTTCCCGGTAGGCCACCATGAAAATGAGCTTATTGGGACGGCAGCAGGCTATTTGGGGCTGGTAATAAGCAGTCCAGAGGCCTTTGTTGTATATTTTAAGTGGTAATAAAACTAATAATATTTAACTGTTTTGATAACCATGCCTACCTATAGCCAAAACTATATGGTATGTAACGTTTAAATATAAAAGACCGAGGAAGAGGATATTATTAATACTCCTATTAATATTATGTATATTTATTTTAATGTGAACAAATATAATTTGTCAATTTTCTTTATCTCTAAAATGTATGATAACATATTATATTTCGACGTAATATAGATTAATATTAAATAAATCGGATCTATATATAATAAGATATTGATTTTTTAAATTATAAAAATCAAATAGATGACATTTTTTAAATTAGATGGAATTTATCAACCAATTACTAACAACAGCTTCGTGTTTTTTTAACCATTTAATATTATTAGATACAACTTCTAATATAGATGATCGTCCCAATGCAGGTTCAGCTTCTGGATGTTCATCAAAAAATATGTTAATCTAAAAAAATTCAATTGTATATAAATTTAAACATGTTAAAAAAAAACAGAAACATACTGATAGTTTAAATAAAAACACAACATTTGAGATGTTGTTATCAACCAACGTTTACTTTAGTTTAGAATAAATAATATTTACTTCTCTAATATGTTCTTGTGTATTAAAATGAGAACAAACTGAAGGTATGTGATTTCTAAGTTGAATATCAAAATAATAAAAACTATCCTCCAAGTACTGCCAATTCTCCCTAAATAACATTAGCTCACATTAGATGACATTTTAAATTGTCCTGTTGTTTTAAAATATATTTATATTATAGGAGGTACCTACCTCAAAAAGTCCCATACGAATTGAGTTCCAAAAGGTTGACGGTTTATAAGTAATATGATTCTTAAATAATCTCGGGGACTAACATGACTCTCATTTTTTGCATTTTGCAATAGTCTAGAAAACCATAAAATATATTATATTATTCCATATGAATAAAATTAAGTGCACAATTTACCTATTTAATATTGATGTATCTTTTGGGGAAGTCAATGCATCCAAAAAGTTATCTTTTTCCAGAGGTTCTTTTTCATTTAAGAATAAGTTCCATAATTTATTCCATTCACTAGAATTTCCCTGAGACATTCCTAAATATACAAAATCGTATAAATAATATAACTAAATAATGATTTCAGTAATTAGCAATTTATTTTAATAAATAAATACATTTATATTTCCACTAACCATAGTAATAAACAGTGAATCTAATATCAGGATGAGGTTTGATTTTGTCATTCAAAAATCGTTTAAATAATTCATAAACTTTTTTTTGATAGCTCGGTAAACCATATGCACATCCTAATTTGATAATAACTGCTCGAAACTTACGTTGTATGAAGTTATTATCACTTGACTCATTCCAAATATCTTCTTTTATATTTCCCAATAAATATTGTACATATTTCTTTAAAAAACAATAAATATATTTATACAAATTATGTACGAATTCATGAATCAACTATCGTGTCGTTAATTATTACGTATTGAGATCAGTACTCTAAAGATCATAATATTTCTAATTATGTAAGGTCGGCCAAACACGAGTAAAAAAAAAATAATAAACTAGGAATAAGATAAATTATTGAAATGTTATAATCATGTAAATAATAATGTAGTCTAACTAGAAAATAGTTATCAAAGTAATACTTAGCATTTTTATGCATTTTTCAACAGAAAACAGTTTGTGAATGTTTATGTTTTTGATGAATTTTGTAAATATTTCCATTTTATGAGACCATGAGAGAATTTAAAAATTTGTTACAATATAATATTTTCAATAAATTTAGAAAGGTAAAAAAAAACTTAAAACTATGTTAGCCGAATTGCTGATCTCACGGCATTGCCAATGAGATGTTTTATGAAGTCGGCGTGAATAAAAATTCTGCATAAATAATGTTTTGTAATACCATTGTAATTATTATTAGTTTCTCAATAATCTTACTTCAAAGTGCTTATAAATATTAGCTTAATTTATTTAAGTTAGTAGCAGCTACATCCCAAGGAACATAATATCTAATGATGTTCCATAGATAAATATTTTACTGTACTTTTTACATTTAATAATTTGAAATCTAACTATAAATTATTATAAATTTTCAAGACCATACACCGAATATTAAATAATCAACTGAACAAAGTTTGAGTTATATTGAGTTGGTACATTTGACGGGCGAAGTGCACGGGATCAGTTAGTATATTATAAATCCTCTTATTTATAAAACTGTAACGTTATACCAACATTCCATAATGTGCTTACAAAATATTTAATATGACAATAAAATGTCAACCTACTTAAAGTTATCATTAATAATCTTTGACCAATAACTTCTCTGTATCAAAACTTCGATGAGTTAGCCGAATTGCTGATCTCACGTATTAAGTATTCGACCATGACCTATTGATTTCATGAATTATGTGTAGATAAAAACTCTGTGTAAATAATTTTTTGTACTACCATTATAATTATTAGTTTTTCAATAATCTTACTTCCAGGTGGTTATGTGTCGGACGTTGATATAAATGTTCACTTAATATCTTAAAGTTAGTAGCGGACACATCCCAAGGAACATAATGATGTTCCAAAGATAAATATTTCGTCATGTTTAACGCAATGCCATATGATAAGTAATTAGCGTTTGCCAAACTAAAGGCATCATGAATAAGATTTGAACGGTCAGCCGCACTTAATGCCTTTAAATTGTACATTTTTAATTTAATAATATGTTTGAAAAATATTATCCAAATACATACATCTAAATTTGTTGCTAATAAATTATTAAGTAAACACCAATCACTCTCAGAATAGTTTATAATGTAATATCCAACTTGTCTGTGATTTAGTTTTATCCATTCAGCATCGGGTATGTCAATCGTAACTTTTAATTAAATTTTTTAATTAATACTAATTGAGATATTCAAAGGACCATAATACTTACACGAAACATTGTCTTTGCTTAACAAAAACTTATGTACAGTATTATTGTTTGAAGTGGTATAAGTGATTGGTATTTCCCATTTGTAATCATATGGAGATGAGTCGTGCAAAGAATTAGTATTTTGTTCCGACAAAAATCTTTGCTGCCTTAAAGTAAGTTTAGTTCCATTCCTTATAGCCGATACTACTGGGAACCCTGCTTGACGAGTCCATGTATCCATAACCTATTTTTTTCAGATATATATATTTATAGCAAGGTTTATATTATGTCAAATACTATAATATGTATAGGTACTAAGGAATAAGTCATTT